GGTGCTGTCTTTAATGTTCCCTGACCCAGTAGCAGTAGACATAGAAGGAAGTCCCCTAGCAGACCAACACTAGTCGTCTTTTATGACGTTTGTTGGGATACATCAGGCCTATGCTTTACCCGAAACTACAGGGAACCCACAGCCAAAAGTGAGGTATTGCCAAGGCTGCATTCGCGTATCCCGGTTGAAACGGTACGTGTGGCGCAGAAATAGTCCACGATAAACGAACTCACTTGGACCGTTCTATAAGCAGAGCTAAAAATGCACAGTTTCGGGGAATAAAAAACATTGAATCAAGAATAGTATGCCCTTCTTCCATGCGTCCACTGAATTACATAACGTATCTTAAAAACTACATGTGGCTTGACATTGTTTAAGAAAGAAATAACGCAAACTAGCAATAGTCAGCATTTTAGTTTCGGTCAGGTACGTCTGGACCCCTCAATCTACACGTGCCAAATTTTCCTGAGGTCAGCCTCGGTCCAGATCTGTGCCTGTCGTTTTCTTTACATGTTCAACCGGTTCAACCGTTTCAACCGGATACGCGAATGTACCCCAAGTAAGGTACTAGGATACAACGAGAGGTTCTTTTAAAGTAAAGAGAAAACATAAAAATATCAAATGTTGCAGGGGGCTGCAGATCGAGCTTGTTTGTTCCTTGTCTCCCTTAGACACAGAAGGCCATCGGTTCTGTAGTGTCCCACAATAGCAGCCTTTTACGACGTGTAGTGGGATAAAGTAGGCCTAACATGCATGGTCGGTTAGCAAATGCCGACCATCTGAAAAACTCAAGTTCAGAACTTAACGTTGGAGAAACATTGGGTTATAAATCGCCATTTTATTATTTTTTTTTATACAGAGTATGAAAAATATGAAAGCATCGTAATAAAATAAAGACGGAAGCTGAAACTACAAAGATTTAGCAATAACATCGGACATGTTGAGGGTCGGGGATTGTTATATTTAATCAGGATATATCTAACAATCCAATAATCGAAAGCAGCAAACATGGAAACATCGTTTAAAGAGAACTTAATTGATTTTAGATATTACTAAAAATGTTTAAGAAGTTTCATTTTTGTAGATCGTGCTCTTGAACTGTCGATAATTACAACAGTGTACAAGCTTTGTCGTGGGAAGTAACCAAAAACTATATTTATAGGGAGACTTTAGTTATCTACGGATAGATCGGAAGTAGTAAAACACCCGAGGAGGAATTCAAAATTATACATAAGGTACAGGAGCATTTCCTTTTCGATAATGTACATTAGTCAGCGAGGTGATGGTGAAGAGCTAATTCAAACTTCTTACGCATTGATACAATGACAAAAGACGACACTCACAATTAAATACATAATCACGAAATGCACTTAGCAAGAGCGATCATTGTGTTTTACTTTTTAATTGCAATGTGAACAAGACAATAAATCTACAAGGGAAACCGCTAGTATGCTACAAGAATGCTGACTATGCAGCCAGCAATTGCTGGACAAGTTAAAACAAATTATGATTTTGTATAAAATCTGAACTTACAAAAAAACTATGAAAGCTTTTTTGCAGATAGAAGATTTGTTAAAGACGCAAAAAACGAAGGACACATGGAAGACCAATTTAAAGTAAGAAAAATAGTGAAGAAGCAAACTAGTTCCGTCAATTGTATGGTCATGACAGGCAGTCACAAGTGTATCATCAGTAGCATTTTGGAGGTCCAGCCAGAGTTATCTACTACCCTGCACAGAGGAGGGATGGTCTGCTGTATTCAAGGTTGCAAATCGTAAAAGGCTGTTGTGTCTCCCTTGTCACCCGTCTTTATCTGACCCTTGCTGTTGTGCCTCCCTGGTCACCCGTCTTCATCTGACCCTGGCTGTTGTGCCTCCCTGGTCACCCGTCTTCATCTGACTCTGGCTGTTGTGTCTCCCTGGGCACCCGTCTTACTCTTATCCTGGTTGTTGTGTCTCCCTGTGCACCCGTCTTCATCTGACTCTGGCTATTGTGTCTCCCTGGACATCCGTCTTCATCTTACCCTGGTTGTTGTGTCTCCCTGGGCACCCGTCTTCATCTGACTCTGGTGTGTCTCCCTGGTAACCGGTCTTCATCTGACCTTGACTGTTGTAAGGACGTTACACCCAATTCAAATATCCTTTGTACTGTGACAGTTGTGATGAGTATTTCTTTGTCTGTTGAGGATACTTATTATTCTAATCGACTTGTTTTATCACCTCCACCAAAGAGCCAAAAGAAGTGAGGAGTACAAAGAGTTCATGCACTTCCTCGACATCCAGCCTTCCGGGATAGTAAAACATTGAGCGGTCTGATGTCTTCAGAGAGCATTTGAACGTCTCTTTCATCACTGACCATCCCTCAAGACATACTTCCTGTTGCATGATGAAGTGAGAAGGCCTGAATGTGTAAACAGATCAGCTGACCTGCTGTCCAAACCTGAAATGCCGATGTATTTCCATTGTGTGATGTTCATCTTGCTGTTCTTTGCGGTTCATCACACTGTTTTTTAGCAGACGAGACCCGTCTTCATACCTTGGACACGAGATAAGACATCTATTGACGGAGTGTCCTAGCAAGTTTGACCTCACACAGTAGGGAGACGAATGAAGTTACTAAAATTCTGTTCACGGGTCATACTCTCCCACAATATTCATTACTTACCATTGATCATACATCAGGTAGCATCTACAGGGGTCTGTCACAATGAGAGAAAATCCTACACATCAACTGTTGACACATCCTCGATATCCAGGGGTTACGCTTGCTTTCGCTCTATACAGAGCAAACGTGAGCGGAACCCCTGGATATCGAGGATGCTGTTGACATGTTTAAGAAATTCTATGTTCACAAATATTATAGCAACAAGCTGTAGAAATGTATTACAAAATTAATTTTATCTGATAAAATAATCACGGCCTAGTTATAAATATGTCTTGTTTGCATACATTCAAATGAGTTTATAGGAATCCACTCGTTAATTAAAACCATGCCATCGCTCCGCGGTATCAGAGGACAGTCGAAAATGTGCCCGACTCATCCTCTCTCTCCCGTGAAAATAATGGAAAGTTGGCAAGCTTTCCTGTAGGAAATCAAACAACGCTGTATGCCATAAAAAGCCTTTTTTCCTTGTTAAGACAGACAATTCATGGCCAGAGACAACACATTAACATAACCTTTAACGGACAAATATAAAACACTGAAATGTTCTAAGTGTCTATGTAGAGGAAGGGAGGTGTGGGGGGTCCCACCAAAACTACATAAATGAGAGGAAACTGAGAAAACATAATTAAAAAGAAAGTGGAGTACGCGGCATCGGGATTGCCCCAAGGATCCATACTCGGACCTTTGATGTTCGTTATGTTCAATTCTGTTATATCTTTTTATTGTATTTTGCTTCCAGATAAGATTACCTGATCGAACTGCAAATAAACACAACATAAACAAGTCGTTACTAAATATGAGCATAACTTTAAACTTAGGCACGTTGCTAACCCGCCTTCCTCAGATCAAAAGACTGTTTAATGAATATAATATAATAATAAATAATAAAGGCTTTATTTATTCTTGATAACATATTGAGCATGAAGCTCATCTTACATATGGTCAAGATACAATGTATGATCAAATGTACAATATTTACAGCTTTAAGAAATATACATGTACATGCATAAACTACAGGATAAGGGAGGAAATCATAAATCATTTCAAGTAAAATTGCTTTGCAGATCTCTTAAATTCTAAAAATGAAGTATAATTTCTAATATGACTTGGTAAAAGATTCCATGTAAGGGGTCCCTGATTTCTAAAAGATTTTCTAAAAATTGGTAGATGATGATCTTGTAGTTCTACCCTGAACATCAGACATATACATGTACGTAAATTCTTTCAAATTTTGTGGAGCTAAATTATTAAGTATCTTGTACATAAAAACTGCTTGATAGTATAAAATTCTTTTGTGAAAAGGTAACAAATTTAGTTTTTTGAACATACCACAGGAAGGTGTGGAAAATCACATTTTAAAATAATTCTGGCTGCTCTCTTTTGCAGGCTTTCTAATTTTGCAATATTTTTGTTTGAACTGTTACCCCAAACAGTTGAGCAATAATCCAGATGTGAGTTAACAAAGCAGTTGAAAAAAGTCATACAAGATGACTGGCTCAGGAAGGGTCTCAACTTTTTAATCTGAAAAAATTGACATGATATCTTTTTACAGACATTTGTAAATTGAATTTTCCAAGAGAGACAATCATCTATAGACATTTTCAATGTTTACATCAAGTTGTTGATAAGAACGGACAATTCTTCTGTACATTTACATTTTTTTCTGTGAAGTAGTAACAAGCATGACTTTTGTTTTTTCTGTCTTTACACACATTTTGTTTTCATCGCACGATTTTGACATTAATGAAGAGTCCCAAAATCGCACAATAGTTTCGGTTCATTAGATGATAATATCGTTTGTAAATGTTGCATGTAAATTAAAGATGTAAATGTTTTATTTCTTTCGAAAAAGAAATCCGAAAGACGGCATTGTTAGTACAGTAAAAAAGGAAAGGTACCTCGTTTTCTCACAGTAGTGTCTAATACAATTTTAACAAAGAGGAAGTTGCAGAGGAGTATTTTTAGTTCTTCCTGTTTCGATCTCAGTTTTGTTGTTGTTCAGAGTATAGTATATATATATAGAATATATATATCCTCTCAACAATATGCATATATCAAAAGTATGGCCAATATAGGAATTTTGGATATTGATCTACATGTATCCGAGTGTCAACTATGGATGCACTACAAATTCCAAAACTGAAAGACAATGATGCTATACTTCAGTGTTTCTGGTACATTAACGGTTAATAGCCAAAATATAATAATAAAAAAGCCGAACAATGGTTAAACTAATCAAAGAAAGTGTCACAGGGAATTTATCAATCAATCCGGACTCCTTGCTCCGGCCGAGTGTCGTAATTTAGACACATACTCTAGATCTAGAGGGCGCTTCGTATGTAGAGCACTTCCTGTTATGGTTTATGAAAAGTGATCCCGAAAAGCTGCAGAAAGTCAGTCCCTTTTAGCTGTATTGCGGTGTGTTTTGACGACAAGTACAACATTTTAGAATTTGGTATGCTTATTTCGGATAGGTAAGCGTTGCTTTCATCTCATATATCAGTATTGTAAATACTGCACTAAGAAATAAGTGCAGGTAGCCGGTCACCTCACGCTGTTTGAACCCTGTATTGTAATCAAATGTGAAAAGGACATGGGCTATGGTTTATCAAATTGCAAACGAACAAGATGGTATCGTAACATTAGAATGCATATAGTGCGATGTGTCAATTAAAATTAAAGTGAAGGAGGGAGAGGGGACAGGATGGCGCGCCGTCACACAAACCTGTGGTGCACAAATTAAAATTTCGCGAAACTGAATAAAGACCCAAGATTTAGACGTTTTGACAGATATATGTAGACGTCTGGTATGGGCTGGATAGATATCTGGTGTAGTCATAGTGCTACCTCTGACTATGCATTGAAACTGAAAGTTTAAATGCATTTCCTCCAGTCAGATGTTCACCAATTTATTAAACAAGTTGCAAGGAATCATCCAGTTATATGATGGGCTGTCTTTCATTTGAGCGATTTGGTTGCTTTATGAGTTATACAGTTTCATTTGAATGCAGATACTAGCAAGTTTTCATGTTATTAAAAACATCCAAATAGTCAAACCCATATTTTCTTAATGAATATGAAATTTTAACTAGTCCCAACAGTAAAAAACTACCTGCCATAGGCATCTAACAGTTTCATATTTTTATCTTGTACCATGCACAAAAAACCCTAATTAATGTAGATAATACCCTTTTTTTTACGCCTCTGCACAGGCCCCCAAGGGCATAAACTTGATGGAGCCCCTGTACAGCTAAGAAGAACCAGTGAAATGTACAGCCCTATATATCGGGGCAATCTGGCATGAAAACATGTAAATCTTCATATGAGATTGATGAAACGAGTATAAGAATTTTTCAATTTAGCGAGCCTCTGGCGAGCTAAAATCAAAAAATTGTGACGAGTTTCATAAATTTCATATGAAATGAAAACGAGTGTAAGATCCTTTATATCACATAATCAATATTTGTGGCATGTACGTGTCCGTGTAAAACGACAATTTTCATGCAACCTTGAAATATAAAAGTCTGTCATTTTGACTCTAGTGCGTAAGTCTTTGACGTCATGTACTTGTCCTAGGCGTGATGTCACCATTGAAATAATTGAAACTTACAACCAATCACAGGGCTGATAGGTCATATTACATGGGTTAATTGCAAAAAAATATGGCATGTGTATATTCACTGGATAAAACAGTATATTATGTGATATATATATATATATATATATATGACAAGTATTGCCAAAAAGGAGGTCTATCTCTGGAAACATATACACACATATTTAATTCAATAATGCACATCACTGCACAAAAAAAAATCCTATGGTTTGATACAGTTTCTTAGAACTGCAGTGGCTGTCAGTCATCCTGTCAAGAAAACAACTTACTTTGTACAGAAGTCATAATAGCATTCCTGATTTTGATTCAAACATTGTATTTTAGGTGCGTGTGAATGTTAAAGGGAAAAAGTATGTAGCACCAGCTCCACTAACCTCCACTGGGTCTCCTTGTGTGTGTGTGACTGGATATAGAACTTCCAGTTTGACCAAAATGGCACAAAAAGACCACAAGGAGCAGAAGATCAGCAGTCACCTCAGTTCAGAATCTATCCGAGTCATTTCTGAGTCAGTCGGTTTTGGGGGTATTCCTGATGAGGCTGCAGTGCACCTGGCAGAGGACACAACATACAGGATAAAGCTGTTATTACAGGTAACCAAATACCTCAGTTACCATTGCATTTCTAGCAATTAATGATCCCTGTCCACTACCAAAACCTGTAACTATGCATTGTAAACTGTTTTTTCTGGCACAAGTAGTTTTGATATATAATTTCTGAAAAGAAAAACATACCATACAGGATTTTTATGAAAAATGTATAAAGACGTAATTAACAAAACATAATCAACAACAGTGTTCAGAGTAATGAAAAAAAAACGTGGGCAATGGTAGACTGGGGATTGAACTCTGGGCTCCTGATTGGTATGTTATCATTCTAACAGACTGAGCTACCTGGTCAATGGAAAGGTCCTGGCAAAAATGTGCTTCAGTTGAAGCAAAGCCGAATTAAGGGGATGTTAATTACTGTATAAATGAAAAAACACATTGCGGCAGGACAGGGATCCTTAAGTAAAAAGAGTGAATATGGTCATTACAAATGATGTTTTGACATAGAATGTAGGACACTTATATTAAGATGAATGAACTATGTTACAATGTATGTGGAATACTTAGAAAAAATGAACTGCATAATGTGGTAACAGATCCTTGAACATATTATGAAAAATACCGTTAATCACACATCATTGAGTTTTGCAGCCATTTTAATTATTCATGGGTTAATCTTGTGTTTTATTAAAGGAGGCTGTCAAGTTTATGCATCATGGAAAGAGGAAGAAACTTTCAACTACAGATTTTGACCAGGCTTTGAAAGTTAAGAATATAGAGGTAAGTTACAATATGAATGTTGATTTCTGACTCTAAAATATCTAGTTTGAAACATTTACAATTTGGTTATCACATTTCAACCTTTGTTTGGTTCCGTTTTCATGCTTTGGTGTCAGTTCAATAAGGTTTACACTATCAACAAACAGTTTTAGTTCCAACTGAAATTCTTATTCAAATTCTATGCATAAAATCAAACAAAGATATCTTCTTAATTCACTTTTCTGTATTTACCATATACAGTAAAATTTTAATTACATTAACTTATTCATCCCTGAAGACACACTTGAACTCTTCCAACTCAAAGCTGGAAACGTTCATTTTAAAATTCCAGGGGTGAATGAGTTAAAAGCACCATTTTGACAGGAGTGAGAGTAAACAATATCGTTAGAGATTATTCTGTGCAGTCATAGATCAGTTTAAGAAACCATTATTCTGTGCAGTCAGTTTAAGAAACCAGCATATTTCATAGCCATCAGACAAAAACTTGTTACATATTTCTGTTATGCCCTCAACAAATACATAGCTTGAAAGTCCCATTTGACAGAATTTTTTAACATAGTATCTAGACAATGAAACACTCGCTGTGATATGATAAATGTTCATCTGTGAGCCAACTAGAACATGTGTCACTAAATAAAACTCAATTTATCTAATTTTTTGCAACCAATTTTTATTTAAATTGATTAAAAGTGCACATTTATAGACTAATAATAAATTATCAATCAATAATACAGGCAGTCAAAAGCATTTTACTTGATGGCCATTATGCAGTAGATCATACTAAAATGAGAAATGAGCACATATCATATACTGAAGCACAATTTGTTTGTCTAGTTTATATCCGAATACAGGCTGCTACCCCTAGCAAAACAGAGCCTTATTTTTTTCAAAAGAAAAGAAGAAAAATGGAGGAAATTCTTTTCACTTTCAGTTAAAATGTTGCTACATTTTCCTATTCATGTACATGTAGGAACATTTTGTTGTAAAATTTAGGTAGAAAAACACTCAAAATTAGATATGAGTTATTAGATATAATGACATAGATAAAGTAAATATGTTTATGAAATTAATTTTGGTGTTTGCTATAATTATTATAAGCTTGTTATACTGCCACCATTTGTTTTGAAAGATGTTGGCTTTGTAACGTCATTTGACAGCTTGTCAGGGCATTGAAATAAAAACAAAACAAAACAAAAATAAAAAGTAGACCTCAAAATAATTGCAGTGAGTTGGCAAATACAGTTGAACCCTTTCACCCCTATGTAACTTTAGTAGACTCTACCATGCATTGATCTGGATGAGTCCATTATGGTCTACAGTGGTGAAAGGGTTTAAACAAAGGCATTATATGGAGGTTTTACTGTATTTAAGAAAATTTGACTTGTGAAGTTATGTTTACTGTATGATTTTTTTAAGATATGAAGTTTGCTACATGAAAACTGTTTGCTTCATGAAATTAAGATTGCAGTATTAAACTCATTTTGGTTTTCCTTTTTTACCTCAGCCTGTGTATGGTTTTCAACAATCCGCAGAATGCATCCCCTTCCGGTTTGCCAGTGGAGGAGGGAGGGAGCTTCACTTCACTGAAGAGAAGGAAATGGACCTACAAGATGTCATTAATTCTTCCCTCCCTAAAGTACCATTGGACCTGTCACTCAAAGGTATAGCTCCATCTTCCCTGATGTATTGATAGAATTATTGTGTCCCAATTTCTTAAAAAGAACTGGTCAGTTATTTTAACACTTGTCTTGGTAAAAGGGTTTTGTTGATTCGTTTGAAAATGTTTTCTTTTACGATTGTAGGTAGTAGTGCAAACTAATAAATAGTTGTCTCGCCCTTATTTTATTTCCTTTCTATCAAATGGTCATAATGTCTTAGACACTAGATATATTAACGTGTATACCTTTCTGGGGAAAGTAAATCCATATTTCTTCTGTATTAATTTCACTTTTCATTGTGGATTTGCTATGGGAATTCATGATGAAGTCGTCCTTTGTCAGTATGGAGGGAGAAGAGCTTGATAAAGCTTAAGTGATGAACATTTCCTGGTGTATAATGTTCTGTGACTGTTCAGGGATGGTATCTGATAAATTATTTAGAAACAACATTATTGTGCTCAGTTTATTCTCAAATGATGTCTTCCTGTTCCGGCCTCCAAAAATGTGGTGTTTCTTATAAATCTTTCTTTTTCCTATGCATTTTCGAAAATATCAATCTTCATTCTCCATATATGTATGCTAGAATTTGTCTTCACGTTTAGTTCAAAGTTATTTTTATCCATAACTGAATGACTTAAATAATTCAGGTATTCGTGTTCAATTCAGTTGTAATTTAAATCACTTTGACTATAAGTTAAACTAAATAGCCCTCAAACATTGGCTTCCAGCTCACTGGCTAAGTATAGATGGAGTTCAGCCATCCATTCCTGAGAACCCCCCTCCCGCCACCAAAGACCAACAGAGGAGTGAGATATTGGACACCGGAGTTAAGAGTGCTATTGATAAGATTCAGAAACCGAAGGTCATTCCTGAGGCTGTCAAAGCCAAACATCGTCACAAGGCAACTGACCTCGCCAAGGTCAAGGACTTGTCCAACCACGAACTCTCTGTGGTAAGGCTTTCTAACATCTGTGGAATTGTAGTGTTGAATAAGTTTTCTATCCAATAACTTCCAGTAGTAAAGAGTATTATGTTTGATTGAGTGGTTTTACTTCCGCTTCAATACCGAGTAGCTTGGTTAAACAGTGGTCTTAACCAATTCACCCCTTAAGTCAAATTTGAACTTTACCAAATCGAAGAATGGGCAAGTCCAGTTCAAATATGAAGGGGTGAATGAGTTAAATAAGTTTTCTGTCCAAGAATGTCGTTCAATGTCAGAGTGATGGTTTTGTTACCCTGAGTAAAACATGGTTTTATATATACAAAGGTATATGTTAATATTATTATGAATGACATGATTACTACAAGTTCAATTTCCTTGATTCAAGATTTATTCAAACTTTAGGCCATCAGTACATGATACAGACTACAATGTATATAGATGCTGTAAATTTCATTCATGATTACTCAGGAACAGCAGTTGTACTACAAGGAGATTACGGAGGCATGTGTCGGACCAGATGAGAGTCGACGCTCGGTAAGTAACAAGTTGATATTTTAAAGCTTGTAAAGGTCTTAACCCTTTGAGTGCTAGTCACAACTATAGTTGCACATTCTATAAAATGGTATTATATATGGTCAACAGCTAATCGTGTTGATTAAAATTTAATCAAACATATCAAATAACCAATTTCCATTGGTATTAATATGTTTTTATATTAACAAGTATTATTTTTGCAATATTTTTACTAAAATTGTGACTTATGAAGTTATATCTAAATTTGAACTGCAGTGAAAATTAAATTTTCCTAATTAATTCAGCACTGATTGGTTACCGTATGTATTTTAATGTAGCACTCTAAGGGTTAAGAGAAATTTGCCTAAAAATGTGATATCCACAGAGGTAGAGTAAATTCTCTGTGATCTGAGTCTGCAATTTACCTTCTCCGTGTATACCCAATGTTTTGTTTGGAGTGTTTGGAAATACAATTGAGCTCCTGGCTATGGAAAGTCATTATAATGGAAAAATCAAACTCTCCTAGTTTTATCAACTACAGTCATTCTGAACAAATTTTATGGTTGCAGGCTATTCTTTATAGAAAAACAGAAACAATAGTGAATATTGTATGCAGTATATGTGATTGCTAGAAAGAACATTTAGGATTTTTTTGTAGGTAGAGAGGAGAAAATAGCAGAATTACAAGTAGAATATTGTGTTTGATGTACAGTCTGCGATAATATCATGATCAACTGAGGTAGATAATGTTTATTTTTATTTTGAAGGAGGCACTACAGAGTCTGGCTACCGATCCAGGCCTTCATCAAATGCTTCCGCGGTTTAGCAGCTTTATTTCAGAAGGGGTGAGCTTTTAGTGTTTATATTTTATTAAAACCATTTTGATATTACCACATGCCTATTGCCGACATATGGGTAGATCATACCTGGATATGTGTGTTCTAAAAATACTTCACACACGTGCAGGGTTTTGTTTTCCATAAGTCACTTAATAAAATATATTGGGTTTTACCATATTATACATCTACCAGCAAATAAGTTTAATTAACCAAGATTAAGATTCCTACTTGAATTCAAGACATCTTTTATCTTTCTTTAATAAACAATTGAAACAGATTAAGTATTCTAACATACCATATTAAAAATGTTGATATATATAAACTGATTTGATTTTGTGAGGATTCTTAAAATGAAATTTTAAAAAATTAAGAAAAACAAAATATTTAAGAATTTTGTAATCGATATACATTGTATGTATTAATTTATTATGTATGAAGTGATATACATTGTGTATACCATGTTTGATATTATATACATTGTATATATTATGTATGAAATGATATACTTTGTATATACCATGTATGAAATTATATACAATGTATATATTTTCATACATGGTATATACAATGTATCTACTTTCATACATGGTATATACATAGTATATATTTTCATACATGGTATATACAAGGTATATATTTTCATACATGGTATATACAATGTATCTACTTTCATACATGGTATATACAATGGATATAATTTCATACATGGTGTATACAATGAATATAATTTCATACATGGTGTATACAATGAATATAATTTCATACATGGTAGATACAAAGTATATCATTCCATACATAATATATACAAAGTATATAACTTCATACATAATATATACAAAGTATATAATTTCATACCTGGTATATACAAAGTATATAATTTCATACATGGTATATAAAATGTATATAATTTCATGCATAATATTATATAAAGTATATAATTTCATACCTGGTATATACAAAGTATATAATTTCATACCTGGTATATACAAAGTATATCATTTAATACATAATATATACAAAGTATATATTTTCATACCTAATATATTCAATTTATATAATTTCATACATGGTGTATACAATGAATATAATTTCATACATGGTGTATACAATGAATATAATTTCATACATGGTGTATACAATGTATATAATATCAAACGTGGTATACACAATGTATATCGCTTCATACATAATAAATTAATACATTGTATGTATTATGTATGAAGTGATATACATTGTGTATACCTTGTTTGATATTATATACATTGTATATCTTAGGTATGAAATTATATACATTTTATATACCATGTATGAAAATATATACATTGTATATAATTTCATACCTGGTATATACAAAGTATATCATTCCATACATAATATATACAAAGTATATATTTTCATACATGGTATATACAAGGTATATATTTTCATACATGGTATATACATAGTATATATTTTCATACCTAATATATTCAATTTATATAATTTCATACATTGTATATACAATGTATATAATATAAAACATGGTATACACAATGTATATCGCTTCATACATAATAAATTAATACATTGTATGTATTATCTATGAAGTGATATACATTGTGTATCCCATGTTTGATATTATATGCATGGTATATATTATGTATGAAATTATATACATTGTATATATATTATGTATGAAATTATATACATTGTATAGATTATATATGAAATTCCTTTTTTTGCAGGTAAAGATAAACGTTGTACAGAATAATCTGGCTCTGCTGATATACCTGATGAGGATGGTGAAGTCTTTGATGGACAACCAAACACTGTATCTAGAAAAATATGTAAGTGTGATCGACATCATTTCATCAATAAATAAGTTATTTCTGCTCTTTAGACTTATAGAAAACGTATATAGAGCAAATACCACCAAATAAGCAATGCAGGAACAAAACCGTGGACGTTTTATCCCATCAAAGTTAAAGAGCTACCAATACCCCAAGAAGGAGCCTTCAAGGTTGTTGTCTCGCCGCCACGAAGTAGTGGAAGCGGGACTATAAGGTGTTGCTTTTCCGGCGACGGCTGCGTCAACTTTAAGATTTTGCGTTTAACTGAGTTTCACTGAAAGTATAAGTGCTCGATCAACCAGACTTGCACCATAGATCTCAACCCATGCATCAAATGCTGGATGCGGCCTACCTTTCATGGTCCATTGACTTTGTCAGCATCCCCATCAACATTAAGTTTTTGCATTTAACTTAGTTTCTCTGATATGTGCATTGATGGTCAAAGTGGGGGGACAGGCAAGACATATCAATCTGAATGTCTTGTATTAACTGATGCATGCTACTTTTGTAAAATGTGACTATATAAAGGACAATGGTTTGTGTTTCAGTTACACGAGTTTATCCCTGCGGTGACCACCTGTATAGTTAGTAAACAGCTGTGTATGCGACCAGATGTTGATAATCACTGGGCTCTCCGCGACTTTGCTGCTCGTCTAATGGCACAAATATCCAAGTGAGTAACAAATTTAAATGAAGTCGAAAAAACAGTTAAAATTACCTGAAAAGCAACCTGAAAAAAATTGTCACATGCTGTAAGCGGTCAGTTAAGGTCAGACTAGCATAAATTGCTTTGTAAATACACTTGATAATGTGGTCTAACACAGCCAACTTTCACCAAAATGCATTACTCATAATAGGATTTGACTTGTTTTAGCAGCCAGGACTTATACAAAACATATACAAGGAAATGTGAACAAATGATATTGTCACCGACACCTTTGTGACCCATTTATCAGCCATAGCTAGCCTACTGTAATCGACCCATTTATCAGCCATAGCCAGTCTACTGTAATCGTCCAATTTATCAGCCATAGCTAGCCTACTGTAATCGACCCATTTATCAGCCATAGCTAGCCTACTGTAATCGACCCATTTATCAGCCATAGTCAGTCTACTGTAATCGTCCAATTTATCAGCCATAGCTAGCCTACTGTAATCGACCCATTTATCAGCCATAGCTAGCCTACTGTAATCGTCCCATTTATCAGCCATAGCCAGTCTACTGTAATCGTCCAATTTATCAGCCATAGCTAGCCTACTGTAATCGACCCATTTATCAGCCATAGCTAGCCTACTGTAATCGACCCATTTATCAGCCATAGCTAGCCTACTGTAATCGACCCATTTATCAGCCATAGCTAGCCTACTGTAATCGACCCATTTATCAGCCATAGCTAGCCTACTGTAATCGACCCATTTATCAGCCATAGCTAGCCTACTGTAATCGACCCATTTATCAGCCATAGCTAGCCTACTGTAATCGACCCATTTATCAGCCATAGCTAGCCTACTGTAATCGACCCATTTATCAGCCATAGCTAGCCTACTGTAATCGACCCATTTATCAGCCATAGCTAGCCTACTGTAATCGACCCATTTATCAGCCATAGCTAGCCTACTGTAATCGACCCATTTATCAGCCATAGTCAGTCTACTGTAATCGTCCAATTTATCAGCCATAGCTAGCCTACTGTAATCGACCAATTTATCAGCCATAGCTAGCCTACTGTAATCGACCCATTTATCAGCCATAGCTAGCCTACTGTAATCGACCCATTTATCAGCCATAGCTAGCCTACTGTAATCGTCCCATTTATCAGCCATAGCCAGTCTACTGTAATCGTCACATTTATCAGCCATAGCTAGCCTACTGTAATCGAAGAAATAAACCGTAGGGACAGACCAGGGTTATCTAGTGATAGAGAAAACATTGTTATCACTTTGACACTAAAGGTTGTTTTCATACAGAATTCTGATTTTTGTGGTAACAACTTTTCCATAAAAAAAATACGACCATGGAAATGAGTAGGAATTGATACATGTGTCATGTCCACTAAACCTAGCTTTGGTGTCACAAACATTTCCTCAAATCTTAAGTTTGAACTCAGCTGACATTTACCGCCAAATGGGTATCTCAAAGCTTGTAAAACTTAAAGCTCAGCTCATCTAACTCAACCTCAGCTGCGCTTGCCGGCATTAACTTATATAGTACTTTTTGGCATATACTAGCTTCTCTCTCTTAAAGCGTTTATTTAAATGTGAAGTGCTTTTACATGTATTTTAATCACTTTCAGTCTCTCGTTTTTAGAGTGGTTTTTAGCATGTTTTATGTATGTTTTATTGTATCATTGTATATAAGTATGCAGAAGTTGAGTCTTTAATAAACTAGCTGTATCTGTACCTGAAAACCATGAAAAACATATCCCATACCATCATTTGTGTGACTAAATAGTATATTTACCCATATCAAATTCTGCATCAATTGAATCAATAGTTGTTTTACTAATTTGTATTTGTCTATAACACTAAGGTCAGCCCCGTTACTGACATCTGTTTTAAAACCTATTTATTTGTTCACAGAAACTTTTAACCTATTTATTTGTTCACAGAAACTTTTAACCTATTTATTTGTTCACAGAAACTTTTAACCTATTTATTTGTTCACAGAAACTTTTAACCTATTTATTTGTTCACAGAAACTTTTAACCTATTTATTTGTTCACAGAAACTTTTAACCTATTTATTTGTTCACAGAAACTTTTAACCTATTTATTTGTTCACAGAAACTTTTAACCTATTTATTTGTTCACAGAAACTTTTAACCTATTTATTTGTTCACAGAAACTTTTAACCTATTTATTTGTTCACAGAAACTTTTAACCTATTTATTTGTTCACAGAAACTTTTAACCTATTTATTTGTTCACAGAAACTTCAGCACCAATACCAACAACATACAAGCAAGGATAACAAAGACTTTCAGCATGGCCCTGCAGAGTGATAAGATCGCCATGGCTACACAGTATGGGGCTGTTGCCGGGCTTGGAGAACTTGGGTCAGAGGTCAGTATCTCGTAAAACGGAGTTGCAATAATGTTTCAACAGTACATTACACATATCACATTACATTTTAATCACACATTCTCGTCAGAATTACATTTTGTTTTCAGGTACTTCCTAACTGTATATAGATTGAAACAACAACACTTTGAATTATACTATATACATTATAGATGTGAAACAAAGCATTAAAAAAGGTTTATAATTATGTTTACATGTTGAAACCATTATATTAAGTATTATGTACTAGGATTATTAGTGTAGTAAGAAATGTGAGGGACGAGAAAAAAAGGAAGTCGGTTTAATGTGACATATGGCAGAGGTCAGAAAAAGTATGTTCCCAATTTTGTATTAAAGTAATGAAACTGTGGTCAGAACATCTCAAATTGATTTCACGTGCATCCTAAGATATGAGCCTAGGCAGTTTTAACTCTAATACCGAAAATACCTAGTTACCGAAAATAAAAACATCCAACTACACGTACATCACCTTCATCCCATCCCAGGTGATTAAGTCGTTCCTGTTGCCGCATGTGAGTTTACTGGGGGAGCACTTGAAGCAGACCGTTGATGCTATGGTTTTGAATAATGTGGACAAAATTGCAGCAGATAACATTAAGAAGATGCTAACAGTAAGTTGATGCGGAGGACTCTTTATGTTTCAAATTTTATAAACATTTAAGCCCTTTCCCATATTTGGTTCAATCAGTTTGTTTGTTTTTAAATGTAACATTTTATTCATGCATACCTGCAAATGTTTTTGCAGGCTGTGCAAGGCTTTGTCAAGGCTTGCTTGAAAGCAGCATCAGATTACTAGGTCGGACCTTATTTCATAAACGAACAACTCTGATCCAACCAGTTCAACTGTTTGGATCACGATAAACGAATGCAGCTACAAAATACACACGGAAGACTTATTTTCCAAGTTAATTAATGATTCCTAAATAACAATTATTATGTACAGCAGGAAATTAAAGGTCTTTGATTTTGACTTATAAACTTACAGATAGATGTGATCAGGATAAGTGTTGTTTTCATTGAAATTACACCGAAACCTCTCCTTAACATTTATTACAGAAATACATACCTCCTGTCCTGAAAGTTCACCGAAGTCCTAATCATAGCCTAGACAGCTACATAGCTGAGTTTGGTTACGTCGGTCAACTGTTGTTTAACGCTGTGGAACGAGAGAGGCGGTCATCAGGTAGCGGTCAATCTGCTGGACCTGTACCAGGCAGACCATCAGTTCATATCCCGCAGGTGAGAATTACTATGATGCTGTGAACAGTATGAGTTATCATACTATTTCCACAGTCACATGGCCATACAAGATAAAGTTGTGATCTAATTAAGAATATGTGAGAAAACTTGCATTGAAATTCTGTCCCAAAGCTTTGTGAGTTTAACTCTTTGAAATACCAATGCTGTATTGAAATATGTTTTCTGATTATGATACATCAATATAGCAATTTCATGATGCCAATATCGTGAACACTTATCCAGTAGCATCTTTTTACTGTACATTCCTCAGTGGAAATTAAATTGTCTCACAGGGATATTGCAATTTTGATCCTCCATTTGGCCAAACAATATTTGGACATTTCAAAGTGCATATTAATAAGATCTCCTACTAAGGTGTTCGTATTGTTTGACAAATTGAATCATTTTGGACCAGTGTTTGTATTGTTTGACAAATTGAATCATTTTGGACCAATCGTCTACTTGGAATCAAACCTTTTTAATTGTTCTTTCAGCCGAGGATGGTAATCCACCCTGGATCACAACCTAGCACCCCTTCCACTCCTCGTCAACTGTCTCTCTCAAACAGCATCAGCATACCAAAGACTCCAACCACACCCTCCATTGGTGCACAACAGAAATTTGTTATTATGTCCTCACAGCCTCGCCAGCCGCCCCCCTCCAGCAATCCACTCGGTATGACTAGTGGCACTGCCGGAACAACCATCGTCAAGGTCATGTCGTCTGGGGGTCAAGGTTCAACCACCAGTTCTGGATCAACTCCCTCAACACCTCAACCTAAAATTGTTGTGGTGTCCATGCCCCAGGGGAGCGGGTCGTCGATACCAACACCAGGGGTACAAACTACCAGTATTCTGGGACCAGATTTGGGTGTGAAAAGTGTGTTCAGTGGACAGTCTGCGACTAACTTTTCTCTAAAAAAAGAACATGACAATAATTGGTCCTGACCAAAGCATTTTCATCATTAATTACTCATTCACCCCTGAAAACACATTTGAACCATTCCAATTCAAAGGTTGGAATAGTTTATTATGAAATTTCAGGGGTGAATGAGTTAAAAACTATATGTTTACATATTCTATGTTGTGTTGTCCACTATTTTGTATATTTTATTTGAATTAGTAACATTTGTTTTATAATAATCAAGTGGAAAATGCTATAAGTGGAAAGACTGAAACTTTGGTTTATTTGGGGGAAAAAAACCTATCCATTCTCTTTTGGTGAGAACAAAGTAACCTTGAATACTATGCTCTGCTTGTTTGAGAAATGAAGTCTGCTTGATATTTTATGAGAAGAGCGTATATGTTAAGCAAGTCAAAGATAAAGATTTATTTTCTGTATTGTAAATAGAATGTATACAGATATTCTGGTGCAAATTTACCACTGAGGGTTTTTATAGTTTTTCAAATTTGCAAAACAAATTAAGTTTGGTCTTTATTCTCGATTAGAGTTCTGTACATTGTCTGAAATATTAATATTTTTACTTTTTCATATTCCTTGCCTTATTTTTATTTGACATGATTATGTGCTATACATTAGGATCATTTACAATTATTTACTGAAATCATGATCTGACATCTTTTAAAACGTCTCAAAAAGAAAACAGGTATTTTTCATTTTAAACCGTTTTTTCTAATTTTGTAAATTTTGTATATACATGTCATTTGGACACCAAATCATCATATCATATTCAGTATCAATTAATCTGAAAGAGATTTATATAAATCTCACAAGACAAACAACATTTCTCCTTACTATAAGACGGTCACAACATGTACAGTACAGTAGTGTCACTGTGTTACATGATGTCAGTTTGATTTTACATGGACATTTTCACACTTTAATGTTGCATTAACCAAATGTTTGGCAATTTGTCAATGCAACTTGGTACATAAATACTAAAAGCTATTTTCAACTTGTGCGAAAAATGGTGCAACACCCATGTCAGAAGTAGCTTGATAATTATCTTGATTAAGAGTGAAGGGGAGATAATCCAACCACGTGGAGCCATTAACATGTTATTCATGGTTTGATTCCAGGATGATCATGGTTACACACGCCAACAATACAAATGAAGATATTTTATATCCAAGAAGAATAAAGTTACAAAAATTTGATAACCTGTTTGGTTTTTTGTTTTTGAAAGACATTTTGATTTAAAACGACTTAAGTTGCAATAGGATTAAAAGTTTAATCCACCTCTATAGCAATATCTGTCTATAAATACCACCTCTGTATAGCAAATACCTGTCATAAATACCACCTCTGTATAGCAAATACCTGTCATAAACAACACCTCTGTATAACAAATACCTGTCTATAAACACTTCTGTATAGCAAATACCTGTCTATAAACACCACCTCTGTATAGCAAATATCTGTCTATAAACACCACCTCTGTATAGCAAATACCTGTCATAAATACCATCTTTGTATAACAAAAAAGACACATATAACAAATGCCTGTCCATAGTATAAATATCACTTTTGTATAGTAAATACTTTGTTTAAAGTCTGAACTCTCTAAACGAATACCTGTGTATAAAGGCAGATCTTTGTATAGCAAAACCTTGTCTTCAAGACATTTATAATTAAAACCACCTGTATATAGCAAATACTGTCTACAAAGAAAACAAATCTATCCAACATCTTTCTGGAATGAAAGGCCTGTATATTAAATACATGTATCTCCAAATACATACCATACCTCTTGGGGGGAAAAACTGTTAATAAAGATGACCTCTTTATAGCAAAATACTAACGTGTATGAAGAAACATTTACCTATATAGCAAGTACCCGTCTGTAAAGATTTCAAAAGAGCACCTCTACAAAAATACTTGCATATACAGACCAACTTTTCCATATACCTGTCTTTAAAGACACATTTGTATAGCAAATACCTGTCTATAAAGACACCTCTGTATAGATTTGAAGGAAAAGAAATTGTTTAATGCACAAGAGTTTGTCCTGGTCTTTTCTATAGTATTTCCAGAAATGTTTATACCAATAAAATATACAAGTATGTGTGAGAATACCTGCTGTGTCCCTATTTCTATGTATTAGCTCACCTTGCTAATTGAGCTTATGTCGTGGTGCAGCATCAGATGTCAAAATGTTCCTTTAATGATATTTTGTCACTTTCATGCTATATTGAAGGGCCATTAGGTTTGTTCAAATGAATGAACTTCAAACATATTACAGGTCACAGGGGTCAAATTTGTTAAAAACTTATAACAACTTCTTCTGAATAACCAAAATGATAAGGGTGATGATATTTCACAAGTAACATATTGGGATGACGTGCTGCCAAGTTTGTACAAATGAATTACTTTCACCCATATTTAAAGTTACAGGGGTCAAATGTGTTTTAATCCCTTAAATGAATAATCAAAAGGCCTATTGTGAGGATATTTGTCCACTAGCATTCTGGAATAAAGTGCTATTAATTTTTCTTCGAATGAATGATCTTGACCCATATTCAAGGTCACAATAAGCAAGATGGCTAGTGTGGTCATATTTGGCAATGAGCATTCTAAGATGAAGGGCTATGATGTTTGGAAATGAATGACCTTGACCAGTCTTCAGGGTCACGAGTGAAATGTGTAAAAGCTTTTAAATGACTCCTTCTGAATCTCTAAGAAATCTAGGGTAATGATATTTGGCCATAAACATACAAGGATGAAGGGTTATAAAATGTGTTCAACTGAATAACCTTGACCCAAATCCAAAGTGACGGGGTCAATATGTTAGAATTGCCAAGTGTCTTCTAAACAACCAAGAAGCCTAGGGTGATGATACTTGGCCAGTTGCATGCTATGATAAAGTGCTCCAATTTCCAGGTCATATGTTGAAATTTGTTCACAAAATTTCAGGTTCAGGTGTAGGTTAAAAGTTTGTGATGTAGGTTAATATTTTTGGTTATACTCTTTTTGTTAAACATGTATAGTAGCCAACATTTTGTTGAAAAATTTAAAATAAAACTCCAGGTGAGCTATCAAGGCATTTGGCCTCTTATTTAGTTGTTAACAGCTAGCAGTGTGCCAGCCACTCTGTGCACATACTATATTGAGCCTCCGATCAACTCCACTTTCTTACAGACGTGCACATACTATATCGAGCCTCCGATCAACTCCACTTTCTTACAGACAAAAAAAAAGGAAAATGTATAAGCTTCTGTGGTGATACCAAGCCAAACCTATACTAAACATCACAAACACTGTATTAATAGTCTCATCTATGTAATTATATGAGTTCTTACATCAATAATGATCAATATGTACAACACTTTTTTTTTGGTCAATATTACAATATATTTTAAATTGTTCTGCCCTGCATTTGAAGTCTTTGTTGGAACAATCATCAGATACCACAGAACAATCTGCGACAGTTCCTACATAATAACTAGTGTTTGTTTCCAGTCTTTTTTCGCACCATTTCCTTGAACTGGGACAGGATCTTCGTCTCTCGCTTCGACCTTTCCTCATGGTTAAATTTAGCTAAAGCTCGCTTTTCATCTGCACTGTAGATTTGGTTTTCTTTACGTAGACGAACAGCCTCCATACGACGATGTCTGTAAAAATATCAGACAATCAAAATTGACGAAAAACGCTAATCGGAACGTAACATTTCTTTTCTTTTTGGAAAGGATGTAATGTTTTTAGCCAGTACCAGTATATAAAAACTTATAACGATGTCTCAATCAAAAGTCCAGAGTTTATAAATTGTACTTCAAAAACTACTATTGAATGGCATTTTACAGGTATGTGATTTACTTTTTGAGAAATACAGACAATTATAATTTACGTTGAATTAGTACATTTATTAAGTCATTTGCAAATTGAAACATTGTGAACAACTTTCAAACATATTTTAACAAAACTTATTTGTTTCCATTCAAACATCGATGAAGAGTGTTGTACATGCTTTATAGAATATGTTGTAAAAGCTGTCAATAAGCTACAAACCTGCTTCCACTCATTACATATCCAATATCCTCAAATGAAACAATCTCATTGCTGGTGAGACCAATTTCTCCTCGGCGTGGGATACGCTTGCCCTCCGCTATGTAGGCTGCCATGGCTGCACCTTCTCCTGGCAATAAGGCCTTACCATAGCTATCAAAACAGAAAACAATGCTTATTTAACAGGTCCCTACCATAGCTGTCAACACAAAAAACAATGTGTATATCAGGTCCCTACCATAGCTGTGAGAACAGAAAACAATGTGTATATCAGGTCCCTACCATAGCTGTCAAGACAAAAAACAATGTGTATATCAGGTCCCTACCATAGCTGTCAAAACAAAAAACAATGTTTATATAACAGGTCCCAACATAGCTGTCAAAACAAAACACAATGTTTATATAACAGGTCCCAACATAGCTGTCAAAACAAAACACAATGTTTATATAACAGGTCCCTACCATAGCTGTCAACACAAAAAACAATGTGTATATCAGGTCCCTTCCATAGCTGTCAAGACAAAAAAAAATGTGTATATCAGGTCCCTACCATAGCTGTGAGAACAGAAAACAATGTGTATATCAGGTCCCTTCCATAGCTGTCAAGACAAAAAACAATGTGTATATAAGGTCCCTACCATAGCTGTCAAAACGAAAAACAATGTTTATATAACAGGTCCCAACATAGCTGTCAAAACAAAACACAATGTTTATATAACAGGTCCCTACCATAGCTGTCAAAACGAAAAACAATGTTTATATAACAGGTCCCAACATAGCTGTCAAAACAAAACACAATGTTTATATAACAGGTCCCAACATAGCTGTCAAAACAAAACACAATGTTTATATAACAGGTCCCAACATAGCTGTCAAAACAAAACACAATGTTTATATAACAGGTCCCTACCATAGCTGTAAAACTGAAAACAGTGTTTATATCAGGTCCCTACCATAGCTGTGAGAACAGAAAACAATGTTTATAGGATACAGCATGCTAGGTAAATATTACTGAGTAATTTACAATAGGGTACAGCATGCTAGGTAAATATTACTGAGTAATTTACAATAGGATACAGTTGCTAGGTAAATATCACTGAGTAATTTACAAAAGGATACAGCATGCTATGTAAATATCACGGAGTAATTTCCAATAGGATACAGCATGCTAGGTAAATATCACAGAGTAATTTACAATAGGATACAGTTGCTAGGGAAATATCACTGAGTAATTTACAATAGGATCCAGCTTGCCAGTTAAATATCACTGAGTAATTTACAATAGGATCCAGCTTGCCAGTTAAATATCACTGAGTAATTTAAAATAGGATACAGCTTGCCAGGTAAATATCACTGAGTAATTTACAATAGGATACAGCTTGCCAGGTAAACATTACTTACTCCAGCTGTTTGGTGATCGATGACTCCACATGTTCAGAAGGACCGACCACATCTTCATCACTGACCTCCCCTTCTATCTTCTCTGTAAACAGAAATAGTGTTCTTTCATTATCTTATAACTTGAATCAAAACTGTTATATAGTGATACCCNGACTATTGCCAAATTGCGTTATTTCTTTCTTAAACAATGTCAAGTCACATGTAATTTTTAAGATACGTTATGTAATTTAGTGGACGCATGAGAGAAGGGCATAATATTCTTGATACATTGTTTTTTATTCTCCGAAAGTGTGGATTTTTAGCTCTGCTTATAGAACGGTCCAAGTGTGTTCGTTTATCGTGGAAAAATTTCTGCGCCACACGTAACGTTTCAACCGGGATACGCGAATGTAGCCAAGGATATATCAAAATAATCCTTACTTTTCTTTTCCACCCAGACAATTTCCTCTTCTTCACCGCTGTCACTGTCAGACTCAGAATCACTCTCACTTATTTTTTTCTTCTTCCTTGCCTTCTTAGATTTCTTTTCCTTTTTGTACTTCTTACTGCAAAATCAAAAACATAGTCCCTATTGTCTGTTTATCAGATAATAACTCTATGTGCTTTATCAGATAATAACTCTGTGTTTTCTTTGGTTCTAGCTTTTTATTTTAGAGCAATGTTTTCAAAAAGAACGCTTTTTCTGTAATGTAATTTTATATCGTTGATATCGTAATGAAACAGAATCCTGGACAGCTAAGAACTAGGAAAGGTTGAAAGTAATAAAGTTTCCAATTATTTTTTGGTTGAATTTTAATTTAATGAAATTAATTTCGTTTTCTAATTCTACAAGGATACCCATGCATACTTCCCCAAAATACCCCAAGAAGTCCTTGCAAAAGTTTGTGTGCAGAGTAATAAAATGTTCATAGAAACCTCAATGTGGCTACACACTGTAAACTTGTTGTCCTACAATTCAATATTGTAATTGAAAAATTGTAAAAATTGTAGTTCTTATAAACTAGGACAGTTTATGAAGTGCACAATGGAGTCATGTTATAAATCCTTTCAATTTGTGTCAAACTAATATTTATACAAACATAATAAATAGTTCTTTTTTTGTGTGTCTTATTTTGCAGAAGGCATATATCCATCTTTGATCTTGCAGTAAGTAAATGCTATATACTGTAAAAGCATATATTTTTGTTGGGGTTTAATTTTGTTTGGATTATATATCGTGAAATCAATATTTTAAAACCCTGTATTTTTTATTGACATTTCAATGTTCGGCGTTGTGTTGCCACCACAGATTATCTACAAGGGGTTTGGCAGATCGCAGTCATCCATCCTGCACATTCTTCTCAGATTGGGATGTCACCAATTCAGAAAGCCATTTTGATTGGCCGAACTCTGTCACTATGATGCAATATGCAAATGAGATGTAACAATAACCACACTGTTGTTAGAAGAGTTTACCTATGTGGCTGTGACGATAATTACACCGTTAATCATGACTTGTGTCTTTATGTAAATATTCACCACGGATTTGTTATAAAATTAATAGCGTATTTATTATCTTTGTTTAGTAGATATTTAGTGTGTTTAAAATTTCGTTGGGATTATATTTTGTGGCTTTTATAAAACCACGAAATAAACGAAATTAAATCCCCAATGAAATATTATGCTTTTACAGTATAGCAACAATTCTGTTCGTAAAATGTTCACGTCAATGCAAGTCTGAAAAAGGAAAAGGAATGAACTGACAATCAATCAAACTACCCATGTTTTCTGCTGCTTTTCTTCTTTTTCTTTTTACTGCTTTTCTTCTTTTTCTTCTTCTTTTTCCTATCTTCTGATAAGGGGAATAGAAAATAAGAGACTTCAGAAAACAGAAAAAACCCAAAACCATTTAAAACATCGAGTATTGCCCTTAGTTGATATTAGATTTAGTTGGTTCATAAAGCTGCTTTGCATTATAACATCTTCTGATATATATTCACATTTTAATATTACAGACAATTAAAGTTATAAAATCTTATTTATGAATTTATGACTCATGGTTCCCTGTCATAAATCTAGAATTCTTTTTTTTCTTCTTTTCTTTTTTGTCTTCACAGATACATCATGTAAAATATCATATGAGTATACATATATCATGTAAACATATCCTCTCACAGGAGTCACATCTTTGATTTTTTTCCTTGCTTGGGATGAGTTCTGGAGTTCAGTATCTGAGAAGTGGTTTTTTTTAACTAAACATTACTTATAACTAAACGTCACATACTGTATACATTTACATCACACCACATACATCTATAATTCATTGTACCACAATTGTGCAGCAACATACAAGTGTACATACCTGGGTACTGATCCAGTAACATTGATTTTCACGATATTTAAAATCACTAACCTTCGGAGTCAGAGCTGTCATCGTCACTTTGGGATTCGGATTCAGATTCCTTCCTGCTTTTCCTCTGTTTCTTCTTACCCATGTTTTCCTCATCAGATCTGTTGTGAATAAGTGAAGGTAATTACAAACACAAATTGATTTGAAGATGACCCTTGTGATCCAGTCCACCATGTAATTTGAATGACATTTTATATCCGTTTTTATCTCGTTATCAGAAAGAAGACAAGTTTTAAGTTTTTTAAACTTGTGTCTTATCCATTTTACTTTTTGCAAATAAAACATGTTTAAAACATGTGCTCTACATATAAGACCATTTTTCATACATGACAGCATTGGATGTAGATTTTTTCTGATGATGTAATACTTGAACTTTTGTGCCCAAAAAAATAACAATGGTCATTTGTCAAATGTTTAGGAAGAAGGCTTCCTCAGATCTGCCTGTGTAAGCAATCCCAGTCCATATCAATATGACAACTGAACAACTTTAAGAGGCTTCTAACACTTTACTGTGAATCAAGATAATTCAATTTCATGACTTGAAGATTACATCCCCACCCCTACCACCAAACACTTACTTTTAAGTCTAAAAGACCCCCGTCAGACCAATACTTACTAGATAACATGGAAATATTCTCCCCAACATTTACTTCGAGAGCAAATGACGACATGGAGATGACCTCGACACACTCTAGAGTCTAATTCTGTAAGATAACTTGAACTCAGCCCCTTCCCTTTGATTCAACATTACTGTCATAATGTGAGTCTATGAAATGACAGATGAATGGTGCAGTCGATAGTGCACTTGCCTTTTACCAAGGCCATGGGGGCTCAATTCGCCGATGTGATGTGAAAAGGTATTGGATCACCTGCCTGACCATGTGGGTTATATCTGGATACTCTTGTTTCCTTCCACATTAAGACCCCTTGTGCATTTATATCCGGGCGAACAAGAGTGATTAATTCAAGTTGAAATAAATTGTTTCATAATTGTTGTAAAATAAATAAAGCTTAAATATTTCATCAAATGACCTTTAGATGCCCCAAATACACTATACTTACCTTAAGTCTATTAGATGACTTAGAGTAATGACTTGGAGATGCAAAGCCTCCTGAACACTTACTCTGAGTCTAAAAGATGACTTGGAGATGCCCCCCAGATTTCATGTGCTCCACAAACACCTATACGTTCCCTCTCACACCGACGACTGTAAAGAGAACCAACAATAAAGCATGAAAAAAAAGAATTATAAATATGACTATCAAGTTAACTACAAAACTGAAAAATGGAAAAAAAATTAAACGTATCATTTTGCAAGACATTTTGCAATATCTATTTATAAATTCTAATAATAACAATTCAAGAAATCTTGATACCTTTCTAGGAACTCAGGTAATTGCTGATTATGGGTCTGTTTGACCCCCTTTCCCTCATGTCCCCTTCCTCCATGACCTTGAAATCCACCTCGATTCTGTCGACCTCCATTATCTCCCCTATTGCGATAGCCATTTTCCTCAGGGGGCCCATTTCCCCATCTCCACTCTGGTGGCTTTGGATGTTTGAATTCTGGTGACCTTGAACTTTTTCTAAAAGGTGAATTTGATCTTGACCTTCGTGATGTTGGTTGGTGTTGTCTGTAATCTGGAGATTTGGACCTGGACCTTCTCTGTACTGGTGACCTTAACCGTTTCCTTAATGGTGATCTGGATCTTGATTTTCGCCTAAATGGTGACCTTGACCTCCTTCTTACTGGTGACCTTGACCTCTTTCTCACTGGTGACCTTGACCTCTTTCTCACTGGTGACCTTGACCTCCTTCTTACTGGTGACCTTGACATTTGCTTCCGACTGTAGTCTGGCGAATTTCTGACATATTTTTTTTGCTTTCGTGGGGGAGTAGAACTGCTGCTCCTCTGTCTGCGACGACGGTCATCAGGACTGGACCCAGAGGAGCTGTCTGTATCACTACTGTCACTATGATGTGGCATTGTTCTTTTATGCCTGTGAAAAAAGGGATAATTGTCAAGTGTATAATTAATTGTTAGTGCATATAGATGTCTTGGTACATGCGAAGCTCTTTAAGGGTAACAATCACAATCATACATATAAAGACGGAAACAAATGTGTTGCCACTGAAATCCTATTTGCCAAACCTGATATGATAAAAATATAAAATTCACACATTTATAGGAACTTATTATATCTACTGTCGAAAAAATAAAACACATACACTAATAGTAATATATTACATGCTGATAAAACAAAGATCATTTCAGGACATTTCCAGTTTTATTCAATTATTCAGAGAAACATTCAATTCAAAATATGATGCATAATTTAGGTTTTCTTTATTCATTGTTGTATTCACGCAGAAGTCATGACACCATTTTTTCGAATGTTAAGGGACAATGAATACAAATTCCTAATCAATGTTTTATTTNTTTTGCTAATTGGAGGAGATCATTTTGAGAAGTTTTGATAGTACCGACCAATAAAAATTAATATTTCAATTTCAATTCAATTTATTACCAAATGCACATTGCATATAGGCGTACAGAAATATACATATTGATAAATACTTTACAAATATCTTGTACTATGGCGGAGAACATATGCAATAGATTCAATTCCATACATAATAATTACAAATTCATGAAATAGTCATAAGTTGGGGAAAACTTTAAGCCTTTCCTAAGGTAACTTAGCGGACTCTTAAGAAGCATAATTTAGTTGTTTATGAAATAATACAAATAAAGCTTTAAGCTAACCAATTCTAGCAAATAACAAAACTTTATATGCATATTCGAGTAGATAATTTTGAGTAGGTAACTTGTCATAAGTAGGGCATTTCTCAATACTGTGTTATAATTCAACATTACGTTATGTCCATATCTTATCTATATATATTATAAGTGTACTAAAATAGAGAAAGTATTAATTTATTTTCATTCTTATACGCAATTTGCACCTAATCTATGTGCATTTCGTATACGTATCTATGTACTTAGAGAAATTAATTTAGTTTCATTAAAATCTATATATTATAAGTATTGTACTTAGAGAAATTAATTTAATTTCATTATATGTCCATATATTCAAATATGTTTGATATAAAGTCTGACGTGACAGGGTGCCTTTTAATTGTTTATATCATGTTAGAAGTTGTTTAAGTATTACTATTTTACATTTGTAACGTTAAAACATGTACAGGTGCATTTTATAAAGAACAACATTACTTAATTAAGGTAATGAAATGAAAATGATAATATGCAGTATATTCCTGATATTAGTATGTCCGTTGTCGGCTTCGGTGATGAATATACAGGTTCGTTCTTCATCTTCCGGCACGTGATTATATCTTGATTCAAGAGAAGGATTTTTTTTTTTTAACTTTTAACATGATATTTATGACTTTCGAAAAAAATATTTTTTTAGGGCGAAACAACCTAGGGCGAATGGGATTTGGGTCGAAACAACCCTTAGGGCGAACGGGATTTGGGGCGAAACAACCCGTTACCCCTTGAGGGGGCCATGGGGCCATTGGCCACTTAAAACTTTAATTGACCCCTCCTTGTTCCAATTTTCTTTAAATTTTACATTGGATGTCCCCTCTTGATTTTGATATTGACTAAAATTTGCTGAAATGACCCGCTGCTTTCAAAACATAAACTCATGTCATGATAAAGTGCTGAAGCAGTACTGGTGTTAAAAACACATCTTGGACATCATGTTTTAAGCTAATGGGGTGACCGATAGATTGACAAGTTACATTAAGCAACTATGGTTAAACTTTAACTTTCTAAAAGTTCGATTACTCTAATCAATTCATATCAGTGTGACAAATACACTGCAATCACGTAAACGTACCTTCATCGACGATTCTCATTAACGGAAGTAACTACAACGATAATAGAAGAAGAAACGATTTCGGACGATCCGGATAAGTAAAATCTCGTACTGGTGTGAGATTTCGCGTTGCCGTAGCGATGTTTGAAAATGGCGGCCACACCGTACGTCAAGTACGATGACGGGGCCATTCCCGATGGATTTGCAGCAAACTGCTTTCCTGTTCGAACATTACTCAGAAATGGCGAAGATGGTAGGTTGAAATACATATTGATATAAAAAAGTTACTTTAATTGCTGTTGGTAATGTCATACCTTGATATTTCTCATACAAAGTTCATGAAGTTGCCAATCTTTTCCAAAACAACAAGTGTTTTGAATGCCAGATTCTTTTTTCTATAGGTCTTTTAATGAAAAATTTAACTAAGGAGTGGTCCTGTGTGTATGCTAGATTGTTCTTCTTGCGAAAGAAGGAAATACGTTAATTCCAGCCAGGCTGATTGCAACACATGGGTAAATGTTTTCAAGAGTTCAAAAAGATAAACGAGCACTTTTTTGTTCCTTTAAAGCTACAAAGGGCAAACAAGTTTGACAGGCATTTTTTTTTAAATTTACCACCGCCCCCTTCCTGGACAGGAAAAAACCAACATACAAAATTAAAATTCAGACATATTCGACCAATAAGCAAAATGTGAGCATCATGCAGTGATTGTTTACATTACAACAGTAAAAGATGTGCATTGAAATGGTTGCCTTACAAGTGTCAGCTGAAGGGAATTTCCATTTATCTCAGCGGTAGAGCATCAGGCTTTAGAGCCAAGGGTCGCAGGTTCCAGCCCAAGCAACGGCGTAACAGGTTGTTTTGCCCTAAATCCCGTTCACGCTAAGGGTTGTTTTGCCCTAAATCCTGTTCCCCTGTGGTTGTTTCACATTAAAATATATATTTTTTAATTTATACACTAATATAATTATTGACTTAAAACTACTAGAATTGAAAGAAAAAAGGGATTTCGGGCGTGTAGAGCATGTGTTAAGTAGACAATGACTGATTATTGATCAACCAATTACAAATGAAACGCTTGCCGTTACCCAGTTCTAAATTGGTAGGTACATGTTCAGTACACCATGATGGAATAATTTATAATATCAGTCGGACATAGGCCTCTGCCTAGATCCTAAGCAAACATATTTAATAGGACAAATCAGAGAAATTTTCTTCCCAAAAATCACTTTTAAACATGAAACAATGGCTTTTTAATAAGACGAAATTAATTAGTTGTGTGATTTGTGATCTCAAATACAAATAATGAATGTATAGAGATGTATTGGCATTGTACTATGAGATTATGAACTTTATTATAAAACTTAGTATTTGCATGACACAACATTACAAAGGATAACAATCATAATTGACACTGTATGATGATCGAATCATCTGATTTCAGTTAATGGAGCCTGGTTGGTTGCCCAAAGGGCAGAACAGAGACGTCGCTTCAAGGCTGTCCTCTGCACAAAGCCACGTACATATTCCAGGATCAAAGGGGAACGGAAAAGGGCTGAGAAACAGGGCACAGCCTTAGCCTCTCAAAGCTTCATCAATGATGAGGATGAGGATGAAGAAGAGGCCCCATTGCTTGATGGATTCTTTTTGGTAAAAAATTGTAATATCATTAACTCATTCGCCCCTGAAGACACATTTGAACTCTTCCGATTCAAAGGTTGGGATAGTTCATTATGAAATTTCAGGGGTGAATGAGTTAATTTTGAATTAAGAATAGATGTTGAAGCTCTTTGCACCGTTGACAAAAGACACTGATGTATGACTAATTGATGTACATTAAGACAAGTTTACTATGAATACACTTTTATCACATAATATTTACCATCGAATGGCATTTCCACTATATAACCCTACCAAATTCAGTTGGCATTCATTTAGGCTATGAATGCCATAAACCGATTGTTGACGTCATCATTATTATGACGTCATAATTGTTTCGTTGGATACTACTGACCATCCCCGGGCGATTGCTGTTCTATCCATTGATCAAGCATACATGATACATACATTATTTGAACTAAATGCTGAATAATAATAAGTGCACAACTAAATGCCACAAATCTTGATTATGTGAAAAAGGGTCGGTCTTACACTCGTTTTATTTTTTTTATGAAATTTATGAAACTTGTCACAAATTTTTCATTTTAGCTCGCCAAAGTCTCGCTTAATTAAAATATTTTTAGACTAGTTTCATAAATCTCATATAAAATGGAAACTTGTGTAATATCCTATATATATATATCTTACCATATTAATGCAAATTCATTCTTATATTGTAGTTGTATATATGTGTCCTCAACAAGAAGTTGTATTGTGAAAATTAAATTTATTTAAATGAGAACTTTACAAAGTTGCTAATCAGCAACATAACTTCTCTGGTCGTTGCATCGGGTTTCCTAATAATCTAAGTACAAGTAATATACGTGTATGATATTTCAAAGCACTTTTTTTGAAAAGTTAAATGTACATTGTAAATTCCTAATCATGCTTAGAAATAAATTTTAATTGAATCTTTCAGATGAAGTATTGCTGTGTTGAAGACCCTGTGGATTTGTGTTCTGTTAACATTGCGGGAAAAGAGCTGACAGAATATAAGGAGGAGGACTTCCAACTCTTCGACAATGTTGCTTATGTCAACGCTGCAGAGAATTATCTCCCCTTTGGTAGGTTTTGATATATCTAAAAAGGGTACATTCGCGTTACCGGTTGAAACGGTTGAACCGGTTGAACCTGTAAAGAAAACGACAGGTACAGATTTGGACCGAGGCTGACCTCAGGAAAATTTGGTACGTGTAGATTGAGGGGTCCAGACGTACCTGGCCGAAACTAAACTGCTGAATATTGCTAGTTTGCGTTATTTCTTTCTAAAACAATGTCAAGCCACATGTAGTTTTTAAGATACGTTATGTAATTTAGTGGACGCGTGAGAGAAGGGCATAATATTCTTGATACATTGTTTTTTATTCTCCGAAACTGTGGATTTTTAGCTCTGCTTATAGAACGGTCCAAGTGTGTTCGTTTATCGTGGAAAATTTCTGCGCCACACGTACCGTTTCAACCGGTAACGCGAATGTAGCCTAGGTCATTGAGTCATTTGCAACATGCACCACAGATCAGGATAATCACGGCTTGAAAAAATGAAAAAAATTGTACCAGGTATTATATTGCGAATGTGATGTACATTTCTGAAACATTTTTTTCTATATACATGTGTTTGAAAGTGTTCACTGAAATTCCACCAGATCTAATGACAAAATCTTATAATTTCACTGTTGATGTTTTAAGAGGCTTTTCGAGGATTTCCAATCATACGAGAACTTGAGGTTCCCCTGAATGCCATTAGGAACATCAGGCTGAATCCCGGAGACTATCCCCTTCTAGAGGTGAGTATTTGTTTGGAATTAAGACTTTAAATATAAAACACATCGACCTTTAAATAAACTCGTTTAAACAATTTCATATTTGAATATGTACATGTAATCAGACATATAACCATTTTAATTCAATGTCCAAAAATAACAGTACACAAAATTGTGTTTAACAGATGGTGGATATGTCCTACAATAATATTTCTCACGATGACGTCCTTGCCCTCGGCACTTTACCTGCCCTCAAAGTGCTGCATCTGACTGGGAACAACTTCCGCTCCCTACCAACTGACATGGCTATCCCTTACCTAGACCCTAATAGGTAATGCTGAACTGCTTTCTAATTCTGTAATCAAGTCCTTCAAAAAATGTGTTTTCTTTACATAGTTATTGGGTCCATCTTAAATTAGAACTGCTGAAATACCATATATTTCAACCTGAAAAAACGTTTATACATCGTTTTATGAACTAGTATTATTTTGAAAAGACATAAAGTTATATGTATTTACACAGCATTTCATACATTGGTACTTGTGTAAAAATGTAAATAACATTTGAAAGTAAAACTTATTTTCATGTTCTCATTGTAAGGGACCTTTTAAAAACATTACATAATCTTTGCAAAGGACTCCTTCATTTGAAAGGTTTATTTTTGCAGTCCTTGATTTTACAATATTGATAATATCAGGAGTCAGGTTGGCTTCATCTCTAGACCCTAGGATCATATTATTTTTTATGATAACTGAATGCATCTAAATTCAGTAGAATAAAGTTTTGTTTATTTTTTTTTACAATTTCAGTAAACGACAAGTACCGCGTTTCAAGAATTTAGAAATTCTGATGTTGGATGACAACAGATTGACTGATGTGCGAGTGTTTGCTGCTTTAGCTGGTTTAAACAGGTATTTCAGTTATCTGTAGTTAACAACACATTTCATGTTCCTTTACTCATTTCATACACTTAAATTTACAGAGAGGCACTATAGTCTAGTGGTAGGATGCCAGGCTTGTGACCGAAGGGTTGTGGGTTCAAGTCACGACACAGCACTGTGTTGTATCTTTGAGCAAGATACTTTAATTTTGCTAGTTCCAGTCTACTCAGCTGTACATGAGTACGTGGTTGGGCAGTGCTAGAATTGTTGAATGCTAGCTGTGAGCGCCAAAATAGAAGCACCACATGTATGCTCCCCAGGGAGTTGAGAAAGATATTGGCTGGTTGCAAAGGCCCTATAACCACAGATAATAATTTGAGACAACCTAAGAACTAGGTTGTGATAAAGCGGTATATATAAGAACCCTCAAATTATTATTATTATTATTATTGAAAACAAATGCTGCATGCTCCATGAGCTATTATATGCCAATTCATGCTGGTGTATGAGTCTGTATTTCAGCGTTTGAGATCTAATGTCACAATACTCTCTGCCAAATGCAACACTTATCTTTTGACGATTTTCTTATGATTCATCTTATTTTATGGCAAAAGAAAACAAACCTTCTGATAAAACAATTAAGGACTTTCATTTTGGTGAATAATAATGAATATGTCGTTACGAGGTGTATAACCTGAAAAATATTACTGACGATGGCATGTCTTTGTCTCAGTCAATACATCTTCCTCAGGCCAATATAACCCCATATTTACCTCCAAAAAATGCATAATTGGTAAATATTGAAAATAAATCACCCTTTATTTAAAAAATTTTTATTACTGGTGGCTATGGCTGAACAAATTGAAGACCTCTTTTACTTTGAAAACTATTAGCAGACTACTGGAAGTACACGATTACACTTTAAACACAAGGTGCATATCAGAAATGTATCTGATGACGTTAACACACATATCAGTACTCTCCAATCTGCTAAATATTAGACATAAAGTTTCATATCAGTATATCACATGAAATAGGAAGCCCTTTGATATCCTTTATACACAGATATAAAACTACATATTTTCGTTTTGATACAGATTGAGACATTTGAATCTTGAGAAGAATGAAATATTTTATGTACCACAACTGAAATCTGTGGAGGGGACAATGGTAGTCAATGAAGATGAAAAAGCAACAGAAAAGTTACGGAAATCTGCTCGGAAATCTGGTAGAAAATCGGCTCGGACCCCTCGTTCTGGAAAGCAGACAGAACGAGAACCAGAGGTGTCGGTGGTTGTTGACAAACCAGAAGGTGAAAAAACTGAAATGTCTAAAATGGATACAACGCTGGCATCCGAGTCAATCCTGGCCCCAGCAAACACATTGGATATCAGGTCAGACGTCAAGTCTATGGACGACCCAGCAAGCAAAAAACCAGAGACAAGTAATGTGACAGGTAAGATTTTATATTCTGAAAATAAAAATTGATGTATAATATCGATATAAATATGAGTTTTTATATTTTTTGCTTTTGTTTGATTGATCCGAATTCCAACAATTTTCTGAATGCTTATAAAATGTGTATAATATATATATGTTGATTTAGTTTGGATTCCTAGGTGCAAAGTTCAAGCTCACTCTATCTAGAAAATTATCAAATAATGAAACATTTGATGTATCTTGGATATTTTCTAACTTTTAGTACAAATACAAGCAAGTACATGTACCGTATTCGAATATTGATGTGTTGATAGCATTTTTTAAAATTAAATTTGTTTATAATCATAACCAACAGAACTCCTGGAGACAGAGTTTAGTGGAACAATGGGTGACTTGTCTGCGAGAATCAAAGACTTGGACTTCACAGTGTCATCACCACACATCATAGACACAGCCAGAAATGGGGCCCAAAACTCATTCAGAGACGAGAAGGCCCCATCATTTCCACCCTTCCCTGAGCTACGATACCTCAACCTCGCTAGAAACACTGTGAGTATATATGATTTAAAGCATCATGGACAATAAACCAGGTCACATGGTTTGTGTACCTGTATTGCTACATTATGTTGGTTTGGACTGGATGATACTTGACATCAAATGGCTTTAAATTATCAAGAAAACCTTCCAAATATTAATTAATCCAGAAAGGAATACTGCATACCAGGAAATTTTCCCCAGTCAGACTTTCGCCATTTGTCTATGAAATCAAATTTCACCCATTGCTAACTTCGCCCTTCAAATTTAATAGCTATGTTAATTATGTTGTTCAATTATATTCTCTGTAATGATAAATTTGCCCTCATTACAGAGGGCAAAACAGGCAAAAGTTAAACTGCACCGAAAATTTCCCAGTATACAGTATTGTATTGCAACTTTCCTTAAATACAAATTACTTTTCATTCATCTAAAAAAAACACCATTATCAACGTTTGCATATTAATTCTAATAATTTTCTGGAACAAGTTGCATGTACCTGTGTATTACCTTAAAAAATACCAATTCTTGGGATATCAAATTTTAAATATTTGAGCTCTTTTTACAAAAACAAAGAAAAGACTAACAGAGATGGAGGGTTTGAATACCTTAGTTTGAAATGTGTCAGTTATTGTATAGTAAGTAAACACTGTGATATCTCATAAAAGCCCGTTTGCATTCATCTTTGATCCTAGAGACAAGGTTCCATGTTTTCTATTGTTACATATTTGTGTACAGATAACAGAGGAGGAGGCCTTGTTGGCGGTGGCCGCGTGGCCAATGTTGATGGAGCTAATAATCCACTCTAATCCACTTACCACCATGAAAAGTGGCGATCCCCCACTCCTCTCCCGCTTCCTGCAAGACAGACTCGGAATCAAACTCATCCGCAAGAAACAGAATGACAACAGCTTCATAAAACCTAAAGTGGAAATCACACAGAAGAAATCACGCAAAGTATGTTGGAATTGTTTTTAATAGTTGTTTTTTTTCATGTGTCCTAGAACAGTTGAGGTTTTGTTCTCTTTTATAGAAACAGGGATCATATGTGCAAATTTATAAAAAGAGTACTAGCCATTGGGCAGAATTTAAAAAAATTCTACTAGCCCAAATTTATATTGAAAAGTGTGTATGTTCTTGATAATTTTGTTTTCATTTTATAATAAGTAACAGAAAATATATAGATTGAGACATTAAAAGTAATGTGTGTAATTATTAAAAACACAACTCCAAATATTCCTTTAAATTTCAATATTCATCAAAAATGAAAAAGATTCATGTTTTGAAAACAGAATTTGATAAAATATTTTCTGTTTGGTGTTCTAGGTGACAACTATTGTACCAAAAATCCCTAAGATTCCTCTAGAGGAGCGCTTGATGTTGGAGGCCCCTAAGCCTCCTCCAGGTCCAAAGCCTGACCATACAAGACCAGGCCACAGTCAGGTGGTCAATGCCCTTGACCTTCATAATAAGCCCCTGTCACCTATACCGGGAACCCCAGATTACCAAAGACCATTTTCTGCAGGATCGGAACCAAAATCACAAGGAGGCAAGGAGGGAGTAAACGAGACAAAGAACGCCTGGGAGGATGAGAGCCACCCTGTGATTGAGGAGGATGAAGTGAAAGAAGATGAGAGAGGAGGCTCAGCTTTCTTCATGACGCAGGTATCAAGTCTAGCTGCTTGTGTTCAGTTTTAAATTTACTAAATAGTTTGATGTGTAACTTTTAATATTGATAATGTTTTATCATACAGCTAAATTTAGTTTTAGGGTTGGAATGATATTAAAATTAAAGGTGTGAATGGTTTTGTTTATGAAAACCTCACTGATAAAATCTAACAGCAGTAATATATACAATTTAAAGTTAAAAAATCAGAAACACATAAATCTGTAAAGCATTTTCATATATCTACCGTTCAATGAGAAAATAGTACATTTTAGTATATTCAAATATATATATAAATATGAGAAGTTGGTTCTTTACTTCTGAATTAGCTGTAATTTTTGTTTACCATTTTTATCTGTCATATAACACTAAAATCTTATATTTTTTTTATCTCAAATATAAAGAGAAACATATTTAAATTATATGAAAATATGGCTACATCTATTTAATATACAATGTAAGAATATTGTATTCAATATTTCGATATTGTAAGTGTTGCAAGCAAAGCTGCCTCTTAATTACCAAGAGAAAAATATCTAAAAATAACTGACCAGATAACTAGACTTTAATATATAATAATCCCCACAATGATGGTTCGATTAAATAGGTGGACGAACAGGAAGGGGATACTACCCAGAAGGATCAACCCAAGAAAGAGAAGAAGGAAAAGAAACACAGGAGGAAACACAAGGATAAGACAAAGGAGAAGTCGGACACTCGCTATAAAGGCTATGAGCTCCTGCTGGATTGCGAGGACGACCCAGACTTTATAGAACCAAACGGTTTGTGATTCTATTTGTTTTGTGTCACTTATAAAAAGGAATTCCAGGCATGTAAAAGACATTGTTTGGATGTGATTTCAATTTATTTTTGGCTTATGTATATACACCATGGTAATAGGCTGTTTTTCATTCGGTTTCACACTTATAAACTTCCTTCAAAAATAAGATTATCTTTAATAGAAATGATTGCCAATTTGAACATTAAGACAACTATGCAAAGTGAAAATTGAATTTTAAAACGAAATTTGAAATTAAACATATGTACTAAACTTCAATTACTTCAAACATGTATTAATATTAAAAGGTCATACAAAATCATACTTTTGTCCCATATCAAGAATTTTGTCTGGAGATGCAACACCTAACCAAATTCTGTTATCTCGATCCAAACAGTTGAACGGGTTAGACCAGAGTTGTTTGTTAATGAAATAAGTTTGAACCTAGTAATCTGATGCTGCTTTCAGGCGAGCCTTGACAAAGCCTTACAAAGCCTGCATAAACACTAGCAGGTCTGCCAGGATTTACTCGAAAATGTTACTTATAAAAAAAGACAAACTGGTTGTTCCGCATAAATGAACAGGCCCCTGGTATATATATGTTTCATATATATATAGATATGATAAGGTTTTGTTTTTTTTGTTCTTGTAGATATGCAAGGAAATGTCCGGGCCTTGAAATATGCCCTAAACCATGAGCTGGTATATCGTGACCCTGCTGTTCATCTTCATAAAGTCACCCGCCATATTGAACCCTACAAGAAGGTACAAGTCATTGACATAATTAACTGAGACAGAAGAATTTCTAGTTTCTTTTCTGTTGCAGTATGTATTCAAGAGCGAAAACCAAATACAATATATCAACAACATTCAATACATGTTGTAATGAAATGTATATGCTTTTTGTCTCGCCGCCACTAAGAAGCGGCCGGAAGCAAAACCAAGGTGTTGCTTTTCCGGCGACGGCGTCAATATTAAGATTTTGCGTTTAACTTAGTTTTACTTTAAATATAAGTGCTAGACCAACCAAACTTGGACCATAGATCTATGCATCTTAGGTAGTACATCTCAACCCATGCATCAATTGCTGGATGCGGCCTACCTTTCATGGTCTGTTGACTTTTTCAGCATCTCCATCAAGTTACACGAAGTTTTTGCGTTTAAGTTAGTCTCTCTGATATGTGCATTGATGGTCAAAGCAGGGCACAGGTGAGACATATTAATCCGAATGGCTTGTTTCAGAATTGAAGACCTTGTGTCATTGTTTATAAATTTTATGCAAAAATATAGGCTAATTAAACGTAAAATCTTAAATTTAAAAGGATCATTGATTGGACTAAATAATCAAACTAGACATATTCACTAGAAATTACTTACGATTTTGTGCGATATCTTTTTTGTCTTGTAAATTTGTGAGGAATGAAGATATTGAATTTCAATATTTACTCTGACAGACATGTTTTAAAAAATGATAAATTTAACTCTCATTTTTTATTCTTTGAATTTTAATTCTCGAAAACAAATGGTTTAAAGTCTGTGGGAAAAAAAGGATTCATCACGAAAATGGTTCACATTTTGAATCTGTTATTCCATTGTGTTCTGAGATTTTAAATAGCTGTCATCATTTAACTAATTGGATTTGCAATCTTGAGGATAATAGATATTGTTTACGTCTGTACAGTGGACACTGCCTGAGCTGACCCCTCGTCGTACCAAACAGGAAGTGATCGGTGAAACCCTGGACTTTATCAGGAAACGCCCCACAGTGGAGGAATCTAACCTGGGCGAGGTTCTCACTAGTCGACGTAAACCACCTAGTGACCTAGCCGACGCTCAGAAACTCCTAGGAGAGGTAAGATTTACCTGTAAAGTCAGATTAATTTTACTACAAAATCTCCACAATTTTGCCATCTGTTTAAAGACAGTCTTTCAAATAATTCTGAAATAAGTAATACATGAAAAGTAAAAAAAAAAATTGAAGGCTCTATTTCTTTGTACCATTCTGTAGTTAGTATAAATTGATGTTTTAGTATTATTAAATGAGCTGTAAATATTAAATGAAAACAAAGTTTAGATAAAACAGATATTGAAATCTTTCAATAAGATATACTGTATTTATTTTAATCTATTTGTCAAAATCTGTATTTATTACGAAATATGGATAATTTTGGACATTAAATGATACCCCACATTTTTTATTTCAGATACAACGTCGGTACAATTCAGTAAGAGTCAATTCTATGAAAGAAGCGAAGGAGGCAAGAACATTGATCAGTGGACTTAAGGAAGTTCATGGCCCGAAGAAGGATGCACATGTCACTATATCATAGTTACTGTGTGGTCACAGATTTTACCTTCTGTAGACAAAACTGTGAAATCATGAACCATGTGGTGTCTGAAAATGCCATGCAATCAGTTTTCTTACTTATAGTTTGTTGCTGTTACACAACCATCCTAAAACCACTCTCCCATACATCGATCTGGATGAGTCCAATATGATCTATAGTGGTTAAAGGGTTAACCCAAAAAAATTACGTTAAGTGTTGAAAAATTTTAAACTGGACTGTTGTGAACTCGGTTACAATGTGCTGTGACAGAGTGTTGTTTCCAATCTTTCTTTATAACGGTTACGAATGCTGCTCGGTGTGTTCCATTCACATCAGATGTAGATAAAGTTACTATCCTGTTGGGACATAAATGTACAACATCCGAGCCAAAACCCTGTACCACATTATTAGTGGCAAGATGAGTTCCTGATAGTACTGGAGGAGGAGGAATTAGTGCTATTTATAGGATGTATAAGATATAGTAGTCGGGGGATATCTCACTGGCTGTACACTAATGTATGGTGGTGCAAAACGCCAAATAATGGTGAGTTACTCTCTACAGTGGTACGGATGGTGACTTAATTATCTGAACACTTTTTGTAGACTGTATCAATCCGTGATTATAAAGTTGTTATCTCAGCCAAATTTCAATGCTGTTACAGGTGATTATTCTAAGAAGTACATTTTTTTATCATATCATGAAAAAAGAAACCGTTCCAGTAATTATTGCAGTCTTCCTCTAATAACTAGTTATTGTGATTTTGAAGATCCGAATTGTCATAATATAGTAAAAATAATCCCATTTGTTACAAAAGGAACAAGTAAATGGTATTACGCCAAAAACAGATGTTTGAATCGTCGCCATCAGCATTATCTTGTGTGTGACTTAGATATGAGGTGGATATATCAAACGTAACATGGTATGTTAAACACTTATCGTTCATTCATATATATATATACTTACTGCACACTGAAGTTGTTTTTCCTGCAGTGCAATTTTCAAGATTTTTATGCGAAATAAATATATATATATATATTAAAGCTTAGGGAAATAAAAGTGACTGAAAGGATGGTTGATTGTCGAAGATAGCTTAATATCAAGAATTAGTTGGGAGAAAAAAAAGTTGTTTTTGCACACTGCTGTATAAATGTCCATTTGAGACAAAATGTGAATTTTTTTTGTGATAAATGTATTTCACGACACAGATCGAGAGATATGATATCAGTCTTACAGGAACTGTGATAACCTGTTTTGTATATATTTCTGTTGACTTATGTATATAATGTTGTAGATGTGTAATGTATTGTCAAATAATTCTATCAACCTTTTGTACAGTACTATTTTTTCACCAGAGATCTATGACACTATGTTATGTTATTGTAACCCTATTACAAATACATTGGATTTAAAATGCATAAATTATTTGTTTTGTTTCATTAATTTAATATCTAAATATTCATAGTTAACAAACCTCCCTCATTAGGAGGGAGACGCTCTCATTTTGACCAAAATTTACCAATCTCCCTAAAAAAAACTCCCCTATTCAAGTCCAAACTCGCACAAACTCAAAATATACATCCTGTAGTCAAATGATCTACTAGTTACTGCAGGGTTTATGTAATAATTGTAACAGGTGTGTCTGAATCAAATGAATGCTTTTTGGTAATTTTTTGATACATAAAAAGCGAAAGATAAATTGAGCAAAGCAGTTTCAGTAGTGTTTCATGTACTTTCTCCCTCATTGGAGGTTTCAGAGGTTGACACCTATTAATATCTAATGTATGCATGCTGTGCAGCTTTCAATCTCTACAATCCCTCTTACTTCCCTTGATGTGATCAAAGTAGATACCTAAGATTTGTTTTTACAATACTTGGAATAATCTGTTTTTGCATAAGGGCTTCAGGGCCTGTATTCATGAGATCGTTCTCATAGCCTGACTTCTGTGCTCAAGTCGACTTTCTTGTAACCAGCTTAAATCATGTAACTAAGTCAAAAAGTCAAGTGTAAACACTGGAAACAGTCATTGGCTTAAAGTCTTTAAAAATTTCTTGCACTTCATAGACAAAATATGTTTTTTTTATTAACTCACCTGGTACGAAGCACAGGGGCATGGATCGCTTTACTTATAATATTAAAAAATAGGGGTCTCCTATACTAATATACACAGGGGCATGGATCGCTTTACTTGTAATATTATAAAATAGGGGTCTCTTTTACTAATATTTCCATGCCCCTGTGGTACAAAGGACCATTGCGATCTTATGCTGTGGCGCAGCGCCGTCGTCCTTTGTCAACTTTTCTTTAAAACCCATCTTCTCCTAAACGCCAAAGAGGATTTCAACCAAATTTAGTCTGAAGCATCACTAGGGGATGGCAATCATTTCTTAAATAAATGAGGTGGTTCGACCCCTGAGGCCAGGGGGGCGGGGCCCTGAAGGGGAACTTAGCTAAATTTGCTATAAAATGCATCTCCTGCTTAATGCCAGAGAGGATTTCAACCAAATTTAGTGTCTGAAGCATCAGTAGGGGAGGACAATCATTTCTTAAATAAATGAGTTGGTTTGACCCCTGAGGCCAGGGGGGCGGGGCCCTGAAAGGGAACATAGCTAAATTTGCTTTAAAACGCATCTCCTGTTTAACGCCAGAGAGGATTTCGACCAAATTTAGTCTGAAGCATCACTAGGGGAGGGCAATCAATTATGAAATAAATGAGGTTGGTTCGACCCCTGAGGCAAGGGGGCGGGGCCCTGAAGGGGAACTTAGCTAAATTTGCTTTAAAACGCATCTCCTGCTTAACGCCAGAGAGGCTTTCAACCAAATTTAGTCTGAAGCATCACTAGGGGAGGGCAATCATTTCCTAAATAAATAAGGCTGGTTCAACCCCTTGGGCTAGGAAGACCATGTCCCAAAGAGGAAAATTATCTACTATTTTGCTTTAAGACGCTAATACCCCCTAATTGCCTGAGTGGATTGTACAAAATTTGGTCAAAAACATTATTGAGGAAGAACAAACATTTCTTAATTGAATGAGGTTGATTTGACCCCTGTGGGCCTAAGAAATGGTACAGCTAGATTATCATATTCTATGGTGTAGTTTTCATAAATTGTTAAAAATTGGTTTCTAGGTTTATAAAAGCTTATAGTTGAATGAAAATTAAAGTATTGTCTAATTACACCCTGTAATATAACTGATTTAAAATCTGTTAACATGGCAACTCAATGGAGGCCCCTGATTAGTTGAAAGTCAGATATTGTGGACCCAGTTGGGCTAGAACATAGATCTTGTCTGGTTTTGAGGAAATTTCATATAAAGATGTACTAATGCATTCAGTTGTAATGACTTATATATAAAACCAGGTGAGCGATACAGGTCCAATGGACCTCTTGTTAATTTATCACTGGCAAAAGGAGTTTGGCTTAAGCACATGAACAGTTTATGAATACAGACTGAGGTGTTTCCCTGGCACGTGTTTTATCAAGTATAACCAAGCTGGTGTGCCAATTAATCCTGGGCTGCATTCATTAATCCAATCCAAATGGTTGAACTGGTTTGCAACAGATTTGTTTGTATATGAAATAAGGTCGAACCTACAATTATATAGTAATCTGATGCTGCTTTCAGGCAAGCCTTGACAAAGCCTTGCATACCCAAAAATGTAGCATTTAAAAACAGACAAACCGATTGAACAGGATACACAAAAGGGGGCCCTGATGCCTAACTCCTAACCTAATCTTACAAAATTAATGACAGTCCTCCCTTAAACTGCTTTCTTGTTCTATAAACAATGGACAATACTATGGTCAAGCACTGATCTTAAAAGGAATGTTCTTATTCTATTTTGGCCATTTCCTGACGGTGAGGACAAATATTCCTCCACAGATAACACTATCAGAGAACTGTTCCCAAGGTGAAAGGCTGTAATAGATTTAATACATGTCATTTGAAAATTAGAACTCATTGAATACAAATCAACGTCAACTTTTGTCAACACTGGTTTACTGATGCCACATAAAGTAAATTTCCACAGGAAACAACGTTGTAGTGGTAAACAAGAGTCCCAATGGGCCTGCATCGCTCACCTTGTATTAATCTCGCACTTGTAGCCCTAAAAGTGATCTAAAACAAAGCTACAGGCAAAATATCAGTATTTATGATTAAAAGTCATTCAAAAGAACCTGTTAAAAGATTTAACAATATTTGACTCCTGTGACCTTGAAAGTCAAACAAGGTCATACGTTGAACAAACTTTATAGCCCTTCATCTCAGCATGCAACTTGCTAAATATCACTACCCTAGACTTTTTTTTATGTGATTAGGTCATTTAAAGGCTTACATATTTGACCATATGTGACCTTAAAAGTGGAAAAGGGACTTTCAAATGAAAAGCCTTGATAGCCTGTCATACAAGCATGCTACTGGCCAAATATCAACATTCTGGGCCTCATGGTTATTCAGAATAAGTCGTTTAAAGATTTAAAACATATTTGACCCCTGTGACCTTGAATATAAGTCAAGGTCATTCATTTATTCAGAATAAGTCATTTAAAGATTGTTAAAATATTTGACCCCTGTAACCTTTAATAAAGGTCAAGGTGATTCATTTGAACATGCATATACTGGCTAAATATCATCATCCTGGCCCTTTTGTTTTTCAGAAGTCCTTTCAAGATTTAAAACATATTTGACCCCTGTGACCTTGAAATATAAGCTAAGGTCATTCATTTCAACAAACTTGGTAGCCCTTCATCCGAGCATGCTACTGGTCAGATATCAACATTATGGGCCTCATTGTTATTCAGAAGTCATTTAAAAGATTTTAAACATATTTGACCCCTGTGACCTTCAATATGCATTGTAGGTCAAGAAAAAAGAAAGCGGTAGCCCTTCATGCCAGCCTGTTTCTGGCCAAATATCATCACTCTGGACCTTTTGGTTATTCAGAAGAAGTTGATTAAAGGGTTTTCAAACCAATTGACCCCTGTGACCTTGAATGAGTATCATCACTGGGGCATTTTGGTTATTCAGAAGAAGTTGTTTCAAGTTTTTAACCTATTTGACCCCTATGACCTTGAATATTGATCATTTATTTTAATAAACTTGGTGGCACTTTATCCCAGCATGCTACAGACCGAATATCAGCACCCTGGGTATTTTGGTTGTTCAGAAGCAGTTATTTAAAGGTTTTAAACATATTTGACCACCTGTGACCTTGAATATAGCTAAAGTTCATTCATTTTAACAAAACTTAGTACCCCTTTACCCTAGCATGTTTACTGGCCAAATATCCTTAACCTTGGCCTCTAAGTTATTCAGAAGAAATTGTTTAAAGATTTTTTAAGACAATTGACCCCTGTGACCTTGAACATGGATGAAGGTCATTCATTTGAACAAACTTGGTAGCCCTTCATCCCAGTATGCTACTGGCCAAATATCATCACCCTAGGCCTTTTGGTTATTAAGAAGAAGTTGTTTAAAGTAAAATATGAACGCTGGACGACGGACGGATGATGCAACACAGCAAAAGCTCACTTTGCTCTTCGGGCCAGGTGACCTAAAAATATCATTGTCCCACAGAAAATGAAACATTACTTGATATAAGTTCTGTTGGTAAAATACAAAACTGGTTCAGATATATCAAATGAATATATATTTTATTGTAACAACTATTATATATTACATGTATATTTCAAATACAATATCATATATATCAATGAGGAATGCAGATCTTGATAAATTGTTTGTAAACAAAATAAAATGAAAACATGATTTTAACAATGTACAATGTATAATAACAGTTGTCTGTACAAACCTGGAAATAGTCAGTATAAAACATCAGATCTACAACACATTGTGCTTAGTGTATATAATATATGAATATTGTTACATTTTTTTTAATATTTTTTTTTTAATTACAGGTTACATATTACAATCTCATATGTATTTTAGTTTTTGATATATATTCAAAAAACACCATATTACCCTCACACAGGGGGCACATGGAGACAATTACTCCTCGTTTGTACAGAGGGGACTCGCAGTACAATTAATAATTAACTAAGTTTTAATCTAAAAGCTAATTAATATATAGTCCATAACATCTCCAAGGCAAATTATTCATTATAACTAATTTTAGTTAATCTTAAATATTTGTCTTTACTGCCAACCTCCTACACAAGCTATAAGCCATGTAGACAGATAAAAACAGCAGATATACGTGTAGAAATTGGAGAAGCAGATTTAGACAAATCCTGCTACACCTCAAATAATTTGGTTTATGGCATCATGATATTAATTGATTTTGCAAATAACGGATGATAATTTCTTAATGTATTATGCCATTAATATACATATAATGCAGAATATATAAATTTATATATATGTTATAAAAAAACACAGTCAATTCAAAACATTTTAGCAAAATGTGAAATTGCATAGTAAAAATCTGATGGACAAAAAGAAGATAGAAAATTAATTCCTATCTCAATATCATTGTTTGAATCTTTAAACCCTGAAACCTTTAACCCTTTGAACATTTAACCCTAAAACATCTAGTACAAATCTTTAGAAAAAAAATAGATGTGAGAATTAATACAACTAATAGTTTAATTCAGCAAGGCAAACATTTTGCAATTAACCCTTTCACTCCTACATCATTTTAGTAGACTCTACTATGTATTAATATGGATGAATCCATTATGGTCTATGGTGGTGAAAGGGTTAAACACAAAAATCTTACACAGGTACAGTGTCCCTTTATCATGTCAGGTTTATGACCTTCGTAATGTAATCACGAAAATACCACATACAGCGTAAATTATGTAGCAGGTTTATTTTCTAGTACATGTACAATGAAATCTGTCATTTCAACATGACAGCAAACACTTTGTGTCTAAAAACTATACACATATCCGATAACTTAGAAATCGTACCTTCAGCACTAAAATGATTAATGGTTTCCCACAAAAAAAAAGGAGAAATTGACAGTTCCTACAGAGTATTTTGACCTGTGCTTCCAGCTATAAATCATTTTGATACAAACATATCAAAATTGCTTACCCTGCCAAAAATAGCAAAAGTATGGCATTGAAGTTTTAACAAACAATCAGTTTTACGCTGTAAGAGCAGTTTTACGAAAAGTGACGAGTAAAAAGTACATTGTACATATAATATCTGTTAGATTCTGGGCTTTCACCTCAAAGTCGCCAACGTTACATCAATCGGCCGATTTCCTTTACTCATGTAGTCTGTGGAACAATCATAAAATAAAAAAATCATTTCGTTGTCAATGTGATATGTATCAGACTACTTTAATATTTGAAACAAAGATAACATCTGTGTTTAACAAATCTATTCTATTAAATCAAATTTTAAAACATTTTTCTAAGTGGAAAACTTAATAATTATGTTACAAGAGATGAATTTATTAATATTGGTGATGTTAAAAATTCTAATGAGGAGTGTAAATTTCAGCTATACCCAAGATATGCTACTTCTGATTATTATATGATTGGACAATTGCTAAACAATGCGTATTGAAATACTTAGAAAAAGGTTTGGCATTACATATATATGCCTTTGCATCAAGTCATTCAAGGTGAGAATGTACGTTAATATTTCAGTAAATCGTGCCTCGACAGTCAATTTAAATCACTTTTTTTTTTTTTATTGTTCTTGAAGTATTATACATGAGGATTTCAACAACAGCATATTGTCTCTGTTTACTTCTGCCTGGAAAAGTGTTTCCAAAGTTACAATAAGTCGGAATTGATGTTTAGTATTAACGGTAGATAAGTTATCGCACAATTTTTCATTTTTGCACGACTTATCATACCTTGAATCAAAATGCTTCTTCAAACATCACATGAGCAATTCTTCGAACTAAGCGTACCGAAATGTAATTTATCTCTGAAGCTCTGTAGAAGTTATTTATTCTGTTTTGTAAACTCTCCGAGTTATCATATCTTTAAGCACAGCATAGCACCTTGATCAAAAGAACAAGACTGAAGCACATTCGGGAAATAATTATACCCTGAATATATATATATCTAAACTAAGTCTAAACAACCACTGCTAATGATTTTCTGAAACAAAACAAATAAATCGTCAGAAAAACGAAAGAAAAAAATGACAATGAATTCTGGAACTTTTTTCACAACATCCTAAAAATTATGATTGCAAGACTTTGTTTAATGTCCTTACAACATATTGTGATGTTACATTACTTATAGATAGGTTATAGGGAGGGGGGGGGGGGGCATTTACTAGTTGAAAATAATATCACAAACAGTCAAATATTACACAATACATACATATACAGTGTACAATGATATATGTGCATGAATTTTGAAAATATTCATGCTAGTCATTTAATCGTGATTGTGTCTAGGTTTTGTAGATGATGCGTACTAGAGGTATAATGAATAACAGCTGTGAAAATCTGTTATCTTCCTCTTGATGTGTTGATTGTTAATGGTAACCTGTTAAGTACCGTTTGATCGTATGCTAAACGTACCATGTACACATTTTCAACTTTTTGTATGCCTGGTTACAGCATCAAAAAATCTTTAACAATATCTATGCCTGGTCAGGGGCACCAAAATTTCACTAAAATCAAGCATAGCAAAAGCATATTCATTGCATACTAGTATCTTGAGGTAAATCCTGAAGTTAAATTATAAATGCATAATCAGAAATGATTGAATGTTTAACACAATATTTTTGGATCAATGAAGCTAAATCTCATACCTAATAACCCTAGTCTGCTAGGCATGAAACCATCATATTACTAAAAACAAAAATTGGTATTTCTAGGAGTAAATCTCATAATTCTATTTTGAGTACTTTGACCTGGGTACCAAACTTTATCTCATCTCATATATTTTGAGGTTTGAGTATGAACGGAAAGTATGGCATTGTTTTCACAGCATCTGTCTTATTTGATTTCAGCTTTTGGGCGGTACGTAGACCTCTATATTTCTGCTTTCCACTGAGCGTATGTTCGAGGCGTGGCAGAACTGGTGTTAAAGGCTTTTTCGGCAAGCAATTCATCTAGCTCCTGCTTTGTGTCCATGATATTGATCTGGAATGGACTTCCAGGAACGTCCACGCCAGACCAGCGTATGCTGAGGATGTAGAGACCAGTTTCTGTGGGGTCGTAGCGACAGAGAATGGTACGGTCCCTCTGGCTGTCTCGGTACATCTCAACTTGGAACCCACCTACAGCAACGACATTACATTGTGAGATATGATACTATTTCACAAGTATACACAATACAATGTACCACATTCAGATAAAAACTTACATCTTTGTCAAGCTAAAGACAATTGACCTACATTTTTGTCAAATACTCCCTCTGGGTTAGGAGGGAAGGGGGTTCGATGAACAGAGACGAGGGGGCCAACAATTGAGTCATCATTATGACCCCATTTTAACAGCCATTAAGGAGCAGAACGGGTAAACATGTAGTATCAGAGTGCTATTGGGCGAAAAGTCTCTATGATTTTTGACAGCTGACTTTACTGATTCGGCACCCTGTGGCTATTTGAGTTTGTTTTCAGACGTTTAGAGTCGAGACACCGGTCATTTGCACTCTTTGCTTGACGAAGGAAACAACAGACATTTTTGATAGCTCGCAAAATGAGTTTTTAATTCCTGCTTGTGTTCAAATCAAACTAACTAAGCCTTTATCAATGATACCAAACTGATGAGTCTTACTCCCAATTTATGTCCTATTTACCTTTCGGTCCTCTGATCCTGACCGTGAGTTGACCAGCCCCAGCTCCTCGTGTCTCTACCACGAAACTGCTCTGGAACATCGCCAGGATTCCGTGTTCCACTCCCGGGCCTGTGACACGTACCTTACTAGCATCAGGCTGTGATCCCACCTTTATGATAAACGGACTCCCTGTAACAAAACAAAATAAGTTAAAACTCAATCCAAAGAATTTAATTTTGATTGTGTAGGAGGCATGGTTGTCTAGTGGTAGGACGCCAGGCTCGTGACTCAAGGGTTGCAGGTTCCAGTCACGTCACAGCACTGTGTTGTATCTTGTAGCAAGATACTTTACTCTGCTTGTTCCAGTCTACACAGCTGTAAATGTGTCCTTGGTTGGGTAGTGCTAGAATTGTTGAATGCTAGCTGTTAGTGCCAAAATGACAGTACCGGCTGTGTGCTCCCCAGAAAGATATTGGCTGGTTACAAAGGTCCTTTAACCACAGATAATAATTTGTCAACCGGTTTGAGACGACCTACCAACTAGGTTGAGATAAAGCGGTATATAAGAACTTCAAATTATAATTAAACTGTATAATTATTACAATTTTTTTTTTATCAACTATATGTTTCAGCAAATGAAAATTGTCAGTAATATTTTGACAGTTCAACTTTCAAAATTCTAGGAAGAAATGAACTGCACATTAAGCAGTCTACAAGTAATTTATTTCTTTGATTTAACCTTTTTATGCCTTTTTCTTTATCCTACATACCAATTTGACTATTGATACCATACCATAGGTACAGAAGAGTGACCTTGACCCTTACCGAGCACATGCTCCCCTCCGTATTTGATCTGCATGACATGTCTGCCGACCTCCATTGGTTTGATGGCCAGTTGGAACGTTCCATTTTTGTTATCATGAAGCTCCACATAAGCAATCTTTGAGGGTCCCATACAGGCAGCTGTCAGCTCACCTGTGAAGTGAATTACTTATCAGTTATAACAATGTTTAGAAGAATATATTATTTTCAACAGTTTTAGTTTTCTTTTTCATTTTTTCTATATTTAAAGTTGAAATTTAACAATGCACAGTAAAACCTACGTTTACTTGTTTAAGTACAAAGGAAAGCCTGGTTCATTTTTTCTGATATGACAGTAAGTTGTTCAAGACAGGATTGAAAACTATTCAAATAAGATGTCAGTAAACTGTGGTCTCACTAAGAGAACTTAATAATTTTAAACAAAAATTCATGCAAAAAATTAACCATAATGACAACTGTAAATTATTCAACTTACCTGGTCCTGCCTTTCTGACATCAATCATAACATCAGAGGTTCTTCCCAGAATGCCTCCCTTCAAGCCCTCACCAGTGACAGATACTTTGTGGGGGAAGAAAGCCCCGATGACATTGACCTTGTATGGCGACCCCTTCAGTTGACGTCCATTCCAAACGATGTGGAGAAGGTAAGCCCCAGGAATGATCGGTGTGTAGGTGCAGTGGAAACGCCCATTTCCAAGGGAGACTACTCTGTTGTTGATCTCTGCCCTCACTCCTGATAGTGTTACTTCTGGTACACCTGAAATGTCGAAAGGCAAATGTACGTTGTTGTCATATTCAGCTAGCCTTTCTTGTAAAGTCAGGTATTTAATTCATTAACTCATTCACCCCTGAAGACATATTTGAATTCTTCCAATTCAACGGTTGGAATAGTCAAATATGACATTTCAGGGGTGAGTGAGTTAAACATTCAAATTCCCAGAACAAACTTTGAAACAATGGCAACATAAAAATACATAATCAAGAGGTAACATTTAATTCAATTTACTTTTTAACTCAATAATGAAATAAAATATTACACAAATACTAAATGTATACAAACTTAATTAAATTATCTGAAGGTGCAAATGTAATTGGTTTCCATTTGAGGTCAATGTATATTTTATTAAAAGGAATGACATTTTATTTTTTCATTGAACTGCCTATCTTGATGGTTGTAAAGCTGCTAAATTTTAGCTGGATAATAATTTAGCTTGGTTTGAATTCAAACGATTTAATGTATCAGAGGAAATCTTCTGAAGATTTTAACACATCAGAACCCTGTGACCTTGAATGTGGGTCAAGGACATTTATTTGAGTGAAAAAATAGCACACTTACTGGCCAAATATTGCAACCCTAAATCTGATGATTCTTTAGAAGAAGTTGTTAACACATAAAATATTATGATTGCTGATATGCCAATGCGTCAGATGACAAAGATACGCGAGTTGTGCCATTTAAGCTAGATATTAAATATAAAGCTGTGTGCAACTGTATGATGAAGCTGGTGTCTCTTCAACTCCTTTATAGAGTACCCGGAGAAAACCCACATGGTCGAGTTGGTTACCCCTTTCCTTTCACGTCCGATTGGGGAATCGAACCCCAGACGCCTTGGTGAAAGGCAAGTGCACTATCCAATGCGCCACCTGACCACCCAAAATATACCTTGGCAGTAGCTCTCTAGTGTGTATTAGCTGAAGGAATTTTTCATACTTTTACCATCTGTAACTTTAAAAGTAGCTATGGTGATTACCGGTAATTTGCATACCTGATAATTAAGGCCAAATACCAACTTTTCATCTCTGTAGGCAGCAGTGCTTAAGAAGTAATTTGAAATTTTGAACAATTTTGACCCCTGTGACCTTAAAAGTAGGTCAAGGTAATTTTATTTGAAGAACTTTGATAGCTTTTTATCCAACAAGTTTGAGCAAGCAGGCTACATATCATCTCCAGGTATGAAGGGTTTTTTAGAACTTGTTTTAGTTTTTTAAACATTTGACCTCTGTGAACTTGAATAAAAGGTCAAGGTCATTTATTTGAACAACACTGTACCAATGTAATCTTTGACAAGTTTAGCCAANGAAAAATAACAACACTTTGTCAGGACCATGAGGCGATCATTCCTACCAACTTTCAGTTCAATCAGCCCAGCAGAACTTGACTTTAAGTTTGAAATGTAAAATGTTAACGGACGACGGACGACGTACGACGACGGACGAAAACGGATAGCAACATATGAACTTAAAAGCAATGAAATACATGTAGGCATAAACCAATTTCTTGAAAGCTTCAAAATAAAGGAATTTCCAGGCTACAGGTATATATAAATATGTGCTTGAATTTCTGAGTATATTTAACGATCTGATTCCAAACAGCCTGATGTGCCACCTTCCTACACACACACTACTTTGCCCATCATTTCTACACTACAAAATGAGATGTCATTTTCAAAACTTATCTGAATGAACAATTAGCTAAAGCATGATAATGCTATTGAACTAGATACATGTGCAGTATTTGAACTTTAGATTTTATACTCTGAAATACTACAAATATTTTGAGTTTGTGACCCGATGGGAGTTATTTCTTTGTATTAATGCTGATGTTCCTGGTAACTTATTTGTTTTTGCAATATCCTGCGACTGGAATTTTGGAGTAAATGATTGTAGAAATGTTACAAGAGACAGAACGGATCTAAAATGTGTTATTTTACATCATTTATTTTATCATGTTTTAGATAAAGTTTCAGTGAGTTTTGTAAAATGTAATGGGACCAAGTTAGAGATTCTATTTATAATATACTTAACAAATCATTTGCATATGAAAGGAGTATTTAGATATATGAATCAAAGGAAAACAGCCACAGCTTTGTTTAAGACATGTGTAGTCACAGTAGGTGACATTCTCATTGATGTATTACACTTCTAGCTAGTTATAACGAGTGTTTTAGAGTGCATTGCACTGTATAGCGGCACAAGTATATGATAAAACAGTTGAATTATTTTGAATATCATTGTTTCTAACCCCTGTTATTTTAACTCGTTCACCCCTGAAATTTCATAATGAACTATACTAACCTTTGCATTGGAAGAGTTCAAATATGTTTTCGGGGGTGAAAGAGTTAACGTCAACAAGTATTGATACTGTTTATAGATTACTTCTTAATTATTTTGATTTATTTTCCTTGTGTTTTTGATTACAGCAAAATTGTAATGCAGCTATCATTATCCCATATATCAAAAGATTAAAGTTATATGAAAAATACACGCAAAGACTTATAATAGCTGGCATATCAGCTCTCTTACCTGCAGACAGGAAGGCTAACAAATAGGGGCAAAGAAAATGACATTTATTTTCTAATGGAATATGGAATATTTTCATCAAAGGAAAAGAAAACAGTGCAGTTAATCCATATTAAATAAGGTAAAATGAAACCACACTAACGTAATTTATCTAAACATGCACATAATTTATATGTTGAACCATCACAACATTTCTTCACATTAGTATATATATATTTATATTTCAAAGACAAGTTCTGATACTGTCTGAAAAGTATATTAAACACTCACCAGGACCTGCCTGAGAACCATCAATGACAAACTCCGCCTCCTCGCGAACTTTGGCCTCCTTCAGACCACGCCCAGTAAGGATGACTTTGTTGGCATCAGCAGATAGGCGAACAGCGTAGCCAATGAATGGAGAGCTGGGAAGTGTGCGTTCTGCCCAGAACAGGTGGATGTAGTGATTACCTGTCAATACAAAGCGATGAGTTTTATTAGCCTTTCTGTACTGCAACTTCGGTCCACAATCCACACCTGTACATGACATCACGGATGAGACAGCATATTATTTTGTAATCTCGACAATGGGGACCACGAAGCACATTTTGTTTGTACCGTGCACAGAACAACGGTATGGAAAGAGTTTAGCTTTTTCTAGTGTCAAATGTAATCTAGATGGTGATGTCTTCATCTTCTGTGTTCAGTGACGTACTTCTACTCGGGATAAGACCTTATCATCATCTGGATCCTTCAAAGTTTTGAACAGATAAGGAAACCTGGTTTTTGTCTCGCCGCCATGAAGTAGCGGAAGTGAGACTAAAGTTGTGGCTTTTACGGCAACAGCAGTATCAACATTAAGTTGACCCCCCCCCCCCCC